AATGTATGACAGGTGTGACTGTACAGGAATGTATGACAGATGTTACTGTACAGGAATGTATGACAGGTGTCACTGTACAGGAATGTATGACAGATGTTACTGTACAGGAATGTATGACAGATGTTACTGTACAGGAATGTATGACAGGTGTTACGGTAAAGGTCTGTATGACAGATGTTACTGTACAGGAATGTATGACAGATGTTACTGTACAGGGATGTATGACAGGTGTTACTGTACAGGAATGTATGACAGATGTTACAGTACAGGTGAGTATGACAGGTGTTACTGTACAGGAATGTATGACAGATGTTACTGTACAGGTCTGTATGACAGGTGTCACTGTACAGGAATGTATGACAGATGTTACTGTACAGGAATGTATGACAGGTGTTACTGTACAGGAATGCAGAGCTCCAGATAAGATTTAGCTCATTTGGGTACTGTACCCACTGTATTTTTTTGGAGTGGGTATTATGAATTTTGAGTGGGTATTTCATTTTCCGTTACCCACTACTTTCAAATATGTGCGTATTTCACATATTTCACGTATTTCAGTCATTTTACTCACCTAAGCATTATGTCATTGAGTAAGTTTACTAAGCAGGTATGTTCTGCCTTAAGTCATACCGAAGCAAAACCAACTTAAATATAATGGAAATGATTTCATAAAAAATCACTCATCCTATACTGACAGTACAACTTAATAGCAATTGATATCTTTTTCATTACGCAAGCGAGTTTTATAAATATATTCCGTACGCATTTGTTTTAAACTTTTTGCGTATCTGACATTTTAAATGCGTAATTGGTACGCAACAATTATTTTTCAATGCGTAATTGGAAATTTTCTATGCGTATTTTACCCGGATACGCAGCTTATCTGGGCCTCTGGGAATGTATGACAGATGTTACGGTACAGGAATGTATGACAGGTGTTACTGTACAGGAATGTATGACAGGTGTTACAGTACAGGTGAGCATGACAGGTGTTACTGTACAGGAATGTATGACAGGTGTTACTGTACAGGAATGTATGACAGGTGTTACTGTACAGGAATGTATGACAGGTGTTCCTGTACAGGTGAGCATGACAGGTGTTACTGTACAGGAATGTATGACAGGTGTCACTGTACAGGAATGTATGACAGGTGTTACTGTACAGGAATGTATGACAGGTGTTACTGTACAGGTGAGCATGACAGGTGTTACTGTACAGGAATGTATGACAGGTGTTACTGTACAGGAATGTATGACAGGTGTTACTGTACAGGTGAGCATGACAGGTGTTACTGTACAGGAATGTATGAAAGGTGTCACTGTACAGGAATGTATGACAGGTGTTACTGTACAGGAATGTATGACAGGTGTTACTGTACAGGAATGTATGACAGGTGTTACTGTACAGGAATGTATGACAGGTGTTACTATACAGGAATGTATGACAGGTGTTACTGTACAGGAATGTATGACAGGTGTTACTGTACAGTTGAGCATGACAGGTGTTACTGTACAGGAATGTATGACAGGTGTTACTGTACAGGAATGTATGACAGGTGTTACTGTACAGGAATGTATGACAGGTGTTACTGTACAGGAATGTATGACAGGTGTTACTGTACAGAGATGTATGACAGGTGTCACTGTACAGGAATGTATGACAGGTGTCACTGTACAGGAATGTATGACAGGTGTTACTGTACAGGAATGTATGGCAGGTGTTACTGTACAGGTGAGCATGACAGTCGCTACTGTACAGGAATGTATGACAGATGTTACTGTACAGGAATGTATGACAGATGTTACTGTACAGGTGAGCATGACAGGTGTTACTGTACAGGAATGTATGACAGGTGTTACTGTACAGGTGAGCATGACAGGTGTTACTGTACAGGAATGTATGACAGGTGTCACTGTACAGGAATGTATGACAGGTGTTACTGTACAGGAATGTATGACAGGTGTCACTGTACAGGAATGTATGACAGATGTTACTGTACAGGAATGTATGACAGGTGTTACTGTACAGGAATGTATGACAGGTGTTACTGTACAGGAATGTATGACAGGTGTCACTGTACAGGAATGTATGACAGATGTTACTGTACAGGAATGTATGACAGGTGTTACTGTACAGGAATGTATGACAGGTGTTACTGTACAGGAATGTATGACAGGTGTCACTGTACAGGAATGTATGACAGGTGTTACTGTACAGGAATGTATGACAGGTGTTACTGTACAGGAATGTATGACAGGTGTTACCGTACAGGGATGTATGACAGGTGTCACTGTACAGGAATGTATGACAGGTGTCACTGTACAGGAATGTATGACAGGTGTTACTGTACAGGAATGTATGACAGGTGTTACTGTACAGAGATGTATGACAGGTGTCACTGTACAGGAATGTATGACAGGTGTCACTGTACAGGAATGTATGACAGGTGTTACTGTACAGGAATGTATGGCAGGTGTTACTGTACAGGTGAGCATGACAGTCGTTACTGTACAGGAATGTATGACAGATGTTACTGTACAGGAATGTATGACAGATGTTACTGTACAGGTGAGCATGACAGGTGTTACTGTACAGGAATGTATGACAGGTGTTACTGTACAGGTGAGCATGACAGGTGTTACTGTACAGGAATGTATGACAGGTGTCACTGTACAGGAATGTATGACAGGTGTTACTGTACAGGAATGTATGACAGGTGTCACTGTACAGGAATGTATGACAGATGTTCCTGTACAGGAATGTATGACAGGTGTTACTGTACAGGAATGTATGACAGGTGTTACTGTACAGGAATGTATGACAGGTGTCACTGTACAGGAATGTATGACAGATGTTACTGTACAGGAATGTATGACAGGTGTTACTGTACAGGAATGTATGACAGGTGTTACTGTACAGGAATGTATGACAGGTGTCACTGTACAGGAATGTATGACAGGTGTTACTGTACAGGAATGTATGACAGGTGTTACTGTACAGGAATGTATGACAGGTGTTACCGTACAGGGATGTATGACAGGTGTCACTGTACAGGAATGTATGACAGGTGTCACTGTACAGGAATGTATGACAGGTGTTACTGTACAGGAATGTATGGCAGGTGTTACTGTACAGGTGAGCATGACAGTCGTTACTGTACAGGAATGTATGACAGATGTTACTGTACAGGAATGTATGACAGATGTTACTGTACAGGTGAGCATGACAGGTGTTACTGTACAGGAATGTATGACAGGTGTTACTATACAGGTGAGCATGACAGGTGTTACTGTACAGGAATGTATGACAGGTGTTACAGTACAGGAATGTATGACAGGTGTCACTGTACAGGAATGTATGACAGGTGTCACTGTACAGGAATGTATGGCAGATGTTACTGTACAGGTGAGCATGACAGGTGTTACTGTACAGGAATGTATGACAGGTGTTACTGTACAGGAATGTATGACAGGTGTTACTGTACAGGAATGTATGACAGGTGTTACTGTACAGGAATGTATGACAGGTGTTACTGTACAGGAATGTATGACAGGTGTTACTGTACAGGGATGTATGACAGGTGTCACTGTACAGGAATGTATGACAGGTGTCACTGTACAGGAATGTATGACAGGTGTTACTGTACAGGAATGTATGGCAGGTGTTACTGTACAGGTGAGCATGACAGTCGTTACTGTACAGGAATGTATGACAGATGTTACTGTACAGGAATGTATGACAGATGTTACTGTACAGGTGAGCATGACAGGTGTTACTGTACAGGAATGTATGACAGGTGTTACTATACAGGTGAGCATGACAGGTGTTAGTGTACAGGAATGTATGACAGGTGTTACAGTACAGGAATGTATGACAGGTGTCACTGTACAGGAATGTATGACAGGTGTCACTGTACAGGAATGTAGGACAGATGTTACTGTACAGGTGAGCATGACAGGTGTTACTGTACAGGAATGTATGACAGGTGTCACTGTACAGGAATGTATGACAGTCGTTACTGTACAGGAATGTATGACAGATGTTACCATACAGGAATGTATGACAGGTGTTACTGTACAGGTGAGTATGACAGGTGTTACTGTACAGGAATGTATGACAGGTGTTACTGTACAGGAATGTATGACAGGTGTGACTGTACAGGAATGTATGACATGTTACTGTACAGGAATGTATGACAGGTGTCACTGTACAGGAATGTATGACAGATGTTACTGTACAGGAATGTATGACAGATGTTACTGTACAGGAATGTATGACAGGTGTTACGGTAAAGGTCTGTATGACAGATGTTACTGTACAGGAATGTATGACAGATGTTACTGTACAGGGATGTATGACAGGTGTTACTGTACAGGAATGTATGACAGATGTTACAGTACAGGTGAGTATGACAGGTGTTACTGTACAGGAATGTATGACAGTCGTTACTGTACAGGAATGTATGACAGTCGTTACTGTACAGGTGAGTATGACAGGTGTTACTGTACAGGAATGTATGACAGGTGTTACTGTACAGGTGAGTATGACAGTTGTTACTGTACAGGAATGTATGACAGGTGTCACTGTACAGGAATGTATGACAGTCGTTACTGTACAGGAATCTAGGTTCACCAGGTACACTACTTATCATCCACCTCACTATTCCACCAGGTACACTACTTATCATCCACCTCACTGTTCGACCAGGTACACTACTTATCATCCACCTAACTGTTCCACAGGTGCAGTATTAATCATCCACATCACTGTTCCAAACCGCTATTCCACTATCCCATACAGGCCACTGCTAGTTACGACCTTCCTGTCCACCCACACATCAACACACTCTAACCTTGTCCAGCTCGGCCTTCCTGTCCACCCACACATCAACACACTCTAACCTTGTCCAGCTCGGCCTTCCTGTCCACCCACACATCAACACACTCTCACCTTGTCCAGCTCGGCCTTCCTGTCCACCCACACATCAACACACTCTCACCTTGTCCAGCTCAGCCTTTTCCCGGATGAGCTTCTGTTCCAGTTCCTGTTCCTGCTGATGGCGCTCAGCGATTTCCTTCTTCAACTTGATGGCGCTGATCCTCTTGGTTTCCTGTAGATCATTTTGAAGCCGTCTAACAGCCTGCTCCTGTTTCTGCCGAGCATACTCAGCATTCCGCACCTTCTGGTATAAGTTCTGCTCTGTATCTTCTCCTTTCACAACCATTTTCTACAAGAACATGTACACTATATTGTAAACTGCATCGAACACCAGAAAAGACTGTTGATATGACATAAGCTGGTCGCTTCAAGTGGTGATTAAATGTAACATGCACTGAGAGATCCATAGCACTTTGTCTGATTTTGTGCACTTCATTCAGAGCGGTAACAATTATAAAGACAAGCCAAGAAATGTGAGCATGGCTCATTAATATAACACTCCCGTCCATGACTCCCAATTTCAGCTGAACCACAATTATTAATCATTTTCTTGACAAAAATATAATATCTGTATCAAATTATACACTGGCTGTTGTCTGCTGGTGTATACACATCAGCCTTGGCTTACTCAATTGTAAATTTGTAACCAATAGATGAAAATATTGGTTGTTTTTATTAATTTTAATTCACAATATGTACATTGCACTGCAACTCTCGTTAAAACAAAGAAGGTTATCCCCAAAATTAAAATAACTTGAAAGTTATTGGTTGAACAAACTTTTGTTAGTTCAAATTTTTAAATTGCTGGAATTCTTGACAATAAAGACCTCATTATCAAAATTTGCACAGCACAAATAGTTATCAAGTTATTGGTTGAACAAAAATGTATCCCGACAAAAATATTGGTATAGCTAATTAGATACAATTAGAGCTATAAAGCTCTTTACCTCAGAAATATACCAAAAAACACTCATTATGTAATTCTGTATACCACATACAAACTGTTAGGGATGCTAGAAGCCAGGAAATGAATAAAACACACAGAATTTATGGACAACTTCTGGTTTATTGTACATAAAAACCTAAATCAAATCGTGGACAATGCAAAACAAGAACAGTTGTCATTCATATAGTTTATGTTTTTTAATCTACCACATACCTGCTACACAGCAAACATCCACAATTATGCCTGACCAAATGGCCGAGAAAAGATCCAAAATGACATGTCAAGTTAACAACAGATGGACAACACACCACCATGATATAAGCTCACTCGAACTTCATGGCAGGTGACCGGGAATAAATAAATGTCAGCTCCATGCAGTAACAGAAAGTCATACACAACTCAATACCCACAAAGTTAGGTTTAAGCACTTTCAGGCTGGACAAACCCACAGGTTCTAGGTTCTTCAGATTTAATCATATTAACCTTCAATCACAACAATGAATTTTTTTGAAATAACATGTAATAGCTTTCATCATACTCTAAATGTAAAGATATTGTGGTGTACACAAGTTTGGAGAATCTATTTTAGATTGAGCAACCTACACTTCAGCATCACTGAATCACACTTAAGGCAGAAATCAAAAGAAATTGCCTACCAAAATATGATTCATTCAAAACTACTATTGTGCAGATTTCGAGAAACAATGGCTTTGTGTGGTGTGATAGGTTTCTCACCTGAAAGAACTTGAGTGAGTCTTCATGCTCCCTCCGCTGCTGCTCTGCGTGCCGCCTCTTGAAGCGCGCCTCCCACACGGCCTGCTGGGACTCCTCCTTGTCCTTCTTCTGACGCATACTGTTGTGCAGCTGTGTCACCCTGCGAGTGTTGTGGGCCTGGCAACAAAACAGTACAGGACATTATTAGGCAGTACAAGACACTATTAGACACTACAAACTGTTGTGCTGCTGTCACCATGCAGGTGTGATGGATCTTGCACCACAACAGTACAGGACATTATTAGACAGTACAAGACATTATTAGGTAGTACAAACTGTTGTGCAGCTGTCACCATGCAGGTGTGATGGATCTTGCACCACAACAGTACAGGACATTATTAGACAGTACAAGACATTATTAGGGAGTACAAACTGTTGTGCTGCTGTCACCATGCAGGTGTGATGGATCTTGCACCACAACAGTACAGGACATTATTAGACAGTACAAGACATTATTAGGGAGTACAAACTGTTGTGCTGCTGTCACCATGCAAGTGTGCAGGATCTGGCACCACAATGGTGCACAACACTCTAAACAGTACATGCTGCTGTGGAGCCACGTGAAACTATGGCAATCATCACCAGTCAGCTCCCCCAGTAGGTGGACAGTTTTAAGGAACAGTCTTGTCCACTCACAAACTATATGCTACTGACTTGAAAACACAAATGTTGAAGTTTAGTTTCCATTGACCAAAAATTACTAAATTTGCTTTTTATCAGTAATCATACTGAGGCTCCAGTCCAGCTGTGGATAAAGTACTGTTTATTACGGTTGTCCATTCAGGGAACTATTTTGTTCAATATTGGGGATGTGCACAGTTCATTGCTATTAGCAAGTACGTCTAATATGACAAGTAACAATACGATGTTCTTTACTTTTATTCACTCCAACCATCATGTCCAACTACTCTCTCACATGTATATGATTATAATTTTCTTCATATGTACATCTCATATTTTCCCAACCTGTCATTCACCTTCTGAACAAGCCCAAAATAACCCTGGGACTTTGTGTACGTGTAATAAAGAAGTTGTTATCCAGAAGATTACTTGTTGTGCATATATCCAGCTTGTATATGCCTACAAAGACTCTCTTCAGGATGTAATGTAGGAAGTGTAGAATGAGTTTCAACAAGACAAAAACAACAAACAAAATAACAAAACAAATATACTTTCTTGTAGGATCAGCAGCATAGCTATTACTTAAGTCATCAAATCTGGTCCTCAGCCTGCCAGGGAGTATTCAAAATGTTTCCTCGCATATCAAAATCAGCAAATATTATCTCAACATTAAACATTTTAGTTGAATAATAGTATTTCGAAGAGTTCCCATCAAGCCTCTGGAACTCATTTTAATTGCGCTTTTACAATTTTAACTCATTATTACAAGGAAGTTTGAATGCTGAAAGGTACAGTGTTGACTCCTGTTGTACACCAATGGATTCGATGAGTGATGGCAGTCTGTACAGTCTCCATCAAGATGAGGCACACTCTGAGTAATTAGCAAATAGCTCTGCCATTTCATGTCCAAGTCCATGCCCCATTAGCCCGATAAGCCTGCCTGGTACCCTGCCCATGTACACAAGCCAGATATGTGGGTGTCGTGCAACCCATCAAGGGGCCACGAAACCCCAGCTGTACCGCCCCAGTGTAAACATACTGTCACCCACACCACTAAACCTGGGAGTCTGTCACTCTACATATCTCCCCACACACACAGGCTACAGATAACTGCTTTGTAATTGCACAGCAGGATACTTGGGGCAGAGGGCACAGATTATTTACAGAACATCAGGCGTTAATGTCTATTAGATGTGTTCCTACAGTACACTTTTAGGCCTACAAATATAATGTGCACCATTGCTGCCTACTGTACTTATGCTTGTAACCGATCAATAGGATAAGGAAACCTTACCTACTGTACTCTTGTACAGTCCATCAATAGGCTGTGCACCATTGCTGCCTACTGTACGCTTGTACAGTCCATCAATAGGCTGTGCACCATTGCTGCCTACTGAACTCTTGTACAGTCCATCAATAGGCTGTGCACCATTGCTGCCTACTGTACTCTTGTACAGTCCATCAATAGGCTACACACCACTCCTGCCTACTGTACTCTTGTACAGTCCATCAATAGGCTGTGCACCATTGCTGCCTACTGTACTCTTGTACAGTCCATCAATAGGCTGTGCACCATTGCTGCCTACTGTACTCTTGTACAGTCCATCAATAGGCTGTGCACCATTGCTGCCTACTGTACTCTTGTACAGTCCATCAATAGGCTGTGCACCATTGCTGTCTACTGTACTCTTGTACAGTCCATCAATAGGATAAGGAAACCTTACCTACTGTACTCTTGTACAGTCCATCAATAGGCTGTGCACCACTCCTGCCTACTGTACCCTTGTACAGTCCATCAATAGGCTGTGCACCACTCCTGCCTACTGTACTCTTGTACAGTCCATCAATAGCCTGTGCACCATTGCTGCCTACTGTACTCTTGTACAGTCCATCAATAGGCTGTGCACCATTGCTGCCTACTGTACTCTTGTACAGTCCATCAATAGGCTGTGCACCATTGCTGCCTACTGTACTCTTGTACAGTCCATCAATAGGCTGTGCACCATTGCTGCCTACTGTACTTTTCTACAGTCCATCAATAGGGTGAGCGCCATCGCTGCCTACTGAACTCTTGTACAGTCCATCAATAGGCTGTGCACCATTGCTGCCTACTGTACTCTTGTACAGTCCATCAATAGGCTGTGCACCATTGCTGTCTACTGTACTCTTGTACAGTCCATCAATAGGGTGAGCGCCATCGCTGCCTACTGAACTCTTGTACAGTCCATCAATAGGCTGTGCACCACTCCTGCCTACTGTACCCTTGCACAGTCCATCAATAGGCTGTGCACCACTGCTGCCTACTGTACTCTTGTACAGTCCATCAATAGGCTGTGCACCATCTCTGCCTACTGTACTCTTGTACAGTCCATCAATAGGCTGTGCACCATCTGTCTACTGTACCCTTGTACAGTCCATCAATAGGCTGTGCACCACTCCTGCCTACTGTACCCTTGTACAGTCCATCAATAGGCTGTGCACCACTGCTGCCTACTGTACTCTTGTACAGTCCATCAATAAGCTGTGCACCATTGCTGCCTACTGTACTTTTGTACAGTCCATCAATAGGGTGAGCGTCATCGCTGCCTACTGAACTCTTGTACAGTCCATCAATAGGCTGTGCACCATTGCTGCCTACTGTACTCTTGTACAGTCCATCAATAGGCTGTGCACCATTGCTGCCTACTGTACTCTTGTACAGTCCATCAATAGGCTACGCACCATTGCTGCCTACTGAACTCTTGTACAGTCCATCAATAGGCTGTGCACCATTGCTGCCTACTGTACTTTTGTACAGTCCATCAATAGGGTGAGCGCCATCGCTGCCTACTGAACTCTTGTACAGTCCATCAATAGGCTGTGCACCATTGCTGCCTACTGTACTCTTGTACAGTTCATCAATAGCCTGTGCACCATTGCTGCCTACTGTACTCTTGTACAGTCCATCAATAGGCTGTGCACCATTGCTGCCTACTGTACTCTTGTACAGTCCATCAATAGGGTGAGCGCCATCGCTGCCTACTGAACTCTTGTACAGTCCATCAATAGGCTGTGCACCACTCCTGCCTACTGTACCCTTGCACAGTTCATCAATAGGCTGTGCACCACTGCTGCCTACTGTACTCTTGTACAGTCCATCAACAGGCTGTGCACCATCTCTGCCTACTGAACTCTTGTACAGTCCATCAATAGGCTGTGCACCATCTGTCTACTGTACCCTTGTACAGTCCATCAATAGGCTGTGCACCACTGCTGCCTACTGTACTCTTGTACAGTCCATCAATAGGCTGTGCACCATTGCTGCCTACTGTACTTTTGTACAGTCCATCAATAGGGTGAGCGCCATCGCTGCCTACTGAACTCTTGTACAGTCCATCAATAGGCTGTGCACCATCTCTGCCTACTGTACTTTTGTACAGTCCATCAATAGGCTGTGCCACATCTGTCTACTGTACCCTTGTACAGTCCATCAATAGGCTGTGCACCACTCCTGCCTACTGTACCCTTGTACAGTCCATCAATAGGCTGTTCACCACTGCTGCCTACTGTACTCTTGTAGGCAGCTTGATGTGGTAAAAGAGCACAGTAGCAAGTACACTCACCTCAAGTCTCTGTTCAATCTGCCGAGCCTTCAGGTCCAAATCTGCATTAACAGCAGCTGTGTTGAGAGATCTCTGCATGGTCGTGTTGTCTTCCAGTCGAATCTGTGTGTCCGTCAAATGTCTTTGTTCTGTAAAAACATACTCATAGTCTGCTTACTAATGCCTCAGTACTGTAAGATCTAAAACACCTCTGTGATACTATTGCCTTAGGTTACCTCTGCCAACCTACAGCATAGATTTCCTATAGAAATAATGACAAAGACTTGTTGTTTAGCACCACTCTCAGCAATGTTCCTGCGGTATGACAGCAGTCTAGACCACACATTCAAGGGAATGACAGCACAAGCATCACAGAGCATTCCCAGTCCTATTGGTCAGCAAATGATTGCAACAAGACTATAAGATGTTTTTCAACAATCAGATAATACCTTCCCAGTTCAATGACTGGTACTAAAGACTGGCAAGACAGGTATGCACATGGAACTGACCATCTCTCTTCTTGATGTCCAGGTGGGCCTTGGTGAGGGAAAGGTCAGCACTAAGCTTCCTCTTCTGCAGCTCTGCTGTCTTGCCATCTCCATCACTCCTCCTGGACACAACATACCCTTTTATATCCAACACTGACACCCACTGGAGACATCACTAGGGTGATATCAAGATTTATTACCCATGTGGTCAACGTATGGGTAGTTGCATACTATTCTTGTACATACCCCGAGTGTCGTATCGCGTTGACCTGTGTCGTAACGACTTGACCTGAGATTCTGAGATTGGATAACATTCTGGTCACAATTAGGTCACATTCTGACGTAACTATTTTTTCATTCATAACAAACACGTGAATTCATTCATTCTACAACTTAAATGCATTGTGGGAATGTAAACATTGCGAATGTTGCCGTGTCGCTGTTTAATTGTGAGTCGAACTGAGACATCATATCCGTCGAAAAACATAAATCCAATGTTTCCACCAGTGATGTTAGCCGAATGAAGCAACTGCAAACCAAGAAACGGGGTGCTACGGAGTAGTTTACTGTAGGAGGCTGTACGAGGCGATGACAACTGACATGCATCGTGACGTCGTTACCAAGGCAGTGACGTCATTACAGTGTGACCTCATGCAGATATTGTACTACAGTACAATACTCTTCCGCAACCTCTTTATGAAACCGGTTTAGGTTTGAAACCATAAAAATAACAAAAATACGCTATTTATGCATGTAAGACGTGGGTAATAAATAAAATACCACACTCGGTCTTATTTATGCAGGTAAGACGAGGGTAATAAATAAAATACCACACTCGGTCTCACTACATACGAATTATACGAAACTCGTGACCTTCGCTCGGTCAGATACCATAGGAAAGACACTCGTTTCGTATAATTCGTATGTAATGAGACCTCGTGTAGTATTCTCTATATATCACTACAAGGAAATTACATCACAAAGCTTTGCAGACCATTGTGACATAACCAGAAACCATGAAACTCTGCTCTACTGAAACTGGTATTTAACACAGAAGACAATGGTCAATGGATATTGCTGTTCTCCATTTAAAAACTGAAAAAATCCCAAACAAAAGATTTTAGGTAATACATGGTACATATCCAGTCGTTCAAGGGTTATTACAGCAGACATCAGCTCAATCACCTTGTTGATTCCACAGGTACTCTAACAGTACTACCTGGTTATATTACCACCCTGGATACAATGCCATATTTTCTCCTGGACAAACTGTGGCATTATATCCAGGGTATACTGTATTTAGAATCTCACTGATATTTTATGAATCAACTGAAACATAAACCTCCTTATGAAGACAGGTTGATATACAAGGGAGTCCGGTAATTCCGCGTGTCTGGTAATTCTGCGTAGCTGCAATAGCGTACTTCTGTATCGAGGTTAACATCGTCTGCTACCACATTTATGCTTGAAATCGGGACATTTCTACAAGGGACTGGCTTTTAATCACTAAAGGTAAGTAAATAACAGTAATTGACAGATAAATTGACAGTTTTATGAAAATTCGTTTTCTTCAGACTTTTAAACCTTTTTCTTCATTATTCACAATTGGATTTAATATGCAACACTCTTCCTTACATTGATGAAGTGATTTTTGAAAATTATCTGGCCCTAATACGCTTCCATACTTCGGATCCCCAGCTCGATGTTATGCGCATCAGTTGCTGCGCAGAATTACTGAACAGCAAGCGATGTCATCAGAACGCCGGTAAAGTCAACCATATGGCATAATGCAACATTAGAATCTTATAGTCGTCAATAAAACTTATATTTCTAGGTAAATATGATGCATACCAGCATGTTTAGGCAACATAAAACCACAAAAAATAAGAGACGTTAGTTGCCGTATTGCGATCGATGTGCTTAGGTGCGCGGAATTACCGGACGGCATTGTATACCACCAACATGGTATCAGATATACCATAGTGAGTCTGTGTGAGTCAAGTGTGAGGAGAGGGTGGCAAAACACAGACACAGGCATAATGTACAGTGATGAAAGACTGAGGCTGATACGGAGTTGGGGCCAAGTTTGTATGAATGGAAGCCACAAGATGCAGATTGCTAACATAAGAGCTGTGCCTTACACCACAATGATACCAGGGCCATCTGGGGTACATAGTATCAAGAGCACATCCTAAATAAAGGATTCTAAATTACTTATTTCAGACATAAGATTAAGAAACTTACATAAGTTTTGACTCCAGTGACAAGTCGGCATTGTTATTTTCATGTATTCTCTTCGTCGTGTCTGTCTTCACTTCTCTGTAAATGGAGATAAACATGGCAGGTTTACATTATGCAATGACTACTAACATCACATTTCAATATTCAAAGATTATAGGAATCACAGTCAATCAGTCATAAAATAGCAATAATGGAAGAGGTACCTGGAAGTGTCGACCCTCTGAACGCGCCTCTTCTGTGCCTCCATGTTGAGGGAGATGGCCAACTCGGCCAGCTCTTGCTTCAGCTTGTACTGCTCCACCTTGTGGGATGTAGAGAAAGAGAGACAGTCAAGGAGTACTGGTTAATGGACAAACATACAAGTGCCTTTGGTGACTCACTTAACAGATCTGTGTCAACACTAAACAATACAATGTCCATTAAAAAAAAAAAAATCAGCAAATTGCTCTTGGTGAAGACAATCCTTATCTTATCTGCTTTTATTCTTACCTCTTTCTCCCTCAACTTTGTTTCAAACTCCTGGCTAAAGCGTGACAGCTCCACCCTCTTGAGCTCCAGCTGGCTGAGTTTTGTCTGGTAGTCTCGCGCAACCGCATTTCTGGAAAGATCAGCAACAATATCATCAACATCCCCAGCATTGAGTCAGCATGAGTCTATCACTGATAAAAAGAGCGCTTAAGACAAAATATGGACACTTACTGATTATTTGAATAGCTTGCCATGCACTATCCATCTTGTGATGAGGACATTCTGAGTGTTCATGTGAAGACTGAACGAGACTGATCACTATGGTAAGTTGGCATGTGGGTCGTATTCGATATACCAGAAGAACTGACAAGTTTAAGAATGACTTTGAGTTGAAATTCAAGTCGACATAAGAAAATAATTACATCATCAGCTGTCCTCTGGGTTACTTTTCAGCATAAACTTTCAAAGGATTCCTATAAGACATTGAGAAGCATTTACACTTTGAATCTACTTTTCACTTAATATTATACTGAACAAAATATGGCAACTGATGCAATGATAGCAAAGGTTTCATGCAGAAAAATGTATGGAAACATAAGTTGGCCATGTAGGTCAATATCTGTGTGTTCACCATGATACATGCATTACAGCATACTGCTGTATATGGTTGCTTGTAAAGAGCTGTGCCAAGGTGGGCCAAGTTGACAGGTGCTTGGTCTCTGGTATACACTTTCAGCCTGAGAATATCCCACTATTTAGTATATGTCAAGGGAATTAGCAGATCAGTGCACTGACTGTATGCCCTCTAGTCAGAGAAAACCGGTGAATGACATCGTCATCTGGCTTTCAAAGAATTTTGCTGAAAATTCTTCCTAATGGAATTATGAAATGATTTCAAATTTCAGCAATAAATTGCTGTCCATTCAAATGTCCTTTCAAAATACCCCAAAAGTTTGTCTGTCATGTGGGATACAACCACACTCCATGACACTACCATACACATACTGATGACGGTCAAGAATTATTATTAATAATAATAATAGTGGATATTTGTAAAGCGCCAGTGTCCACCCACTCATGCATGCTCATGGCGCATTAAAACTATTTACAATAGAAGGGAAAATGTCAATTATAGCCTTTAGTAAAAAGGAATGTCTTTAGGTCCTTCTTAAAAGAGTATTACCCTGGTATACCAACATTTTCTAGTATCTGTGATAAAAGAATGTGGGCAGCTTTTGTGTATTTTGTGTCATAATGCATAAACAAGCAGTCTGTGTGGTAATAATTGTTGACATATCTATTTATTAGTTGACTTCAATATGTAAGTCTTTCCTTCATAGGTTTGGTTTGGTTATTGTTATACGCCGCACTCAGCAATATTCCAGCTATATGGCGGCGGTCTGTAAATAATCAAGTCTGGACCAGACAATCCAGTGATCAACATAATAAGCATCAATCATCGCATATCCATCATCTACATATATACCTACGTAAACATGATAAATATTGACATCAATTCTTAATTCCCTTGAGGTAGCTGACTGTACACAGTTGATCATACATCAATGTCTTCTGATTGTCTTCAATTAATACAAAACAGTTTTAATGTTCAGTACACCCTGTGACAGTGTTGCTACTGTAGGGTATAAAGTGCTGCATGGGGGGAATGTTCTGTCTCCAGAACCACAAATTAACTGCCAACAAGAACACTACTGAGATGACTTCACTCACTGTTTGACAAACACTTTCCGATCAATCTGTTTGGCACCTTGATCTCTTGACAAACTCAAACCTATTCTCTTTTTCGTTCTCTGAAAAATACAAATGATCCCTATATATGACATGTACAGCGTTGCAACAACTTGTCTTTATTCTACATGCTAACAATGTCCCAGATTCTACAGAAGTTGGGTATCTGAGTAGCCAAATGGATACATACATGTCGCTGTAGAAGGATGTTTGATCAGAACAAATGAAAAATTAAATGTTTATCAGTTGTTTATAGTTCTATAAATCTAGTGATACCATTTATAAACTAGTCATTGATGTACCTCTATCATCAATTACGAAGGTGGGTGGGCTGACACAGGATGGTGGGTGGACTGACAGGATGGAGGGTTGACTGACACAGGATGGTGGGTGGACTGACAGGATGGAGGGTTGACTGACACAGGATGGTGGGTGGACTGACAGGATGGAGGGTGGGCTGACACAGGATGGTGGGTGGACTGACAGGATGGAGGGTGGACTGACACAGGATGGTGGGTGGACTGACAGGATGGAGGGTGGGCTGACACAGGATGGGGTGGACTGACACAGGATAGGGTGGGCTGACAATGAGTGAGGGATTGGACCGACATAGAACGAAAGGTGGTATGACACAGGTCCAGGTGGACTGACACAGGATGGAAGGTGGACTGACACAGGATGGTGGGTGGACTGACACAGGATAGTGGGTGGACTGATTGGATGGAGGGTGGACAGACACAGGATAGGGTGGACTGACAATGAGTAAGGGATTGGACCGACATAGAACGGAAGGTGGAAAGACACAGCTTCAGGTGAACTGACACAGGATGGTGGGTGGACTGACACAGTATGGTGGGTGGACTGACACAGAGCGAGGGATTGGACCGACATAGAACGGAAGGTGGAATGATGTAGAACCTGGACTGACATTGAGTGGAAGGTGACAGGCATTAGGGTAGAGGGTGGACAGACACAGGATGGAGACGGATGGACATGAGGGTAGAGGGTGGACAGACACAGGAAGGAGACCGATGGACATGAGGGTAGAGGGTGGACTCACCTCTTCCTTCTTGTGAGTATGGTCTTGGGATATTTTGGTTAACTTCTCCAAAGCATGATTTAACTTCTTGTCCTCAGCCAGACGTTTCTTGTTGATTGCTGTAACAGATATGTCATTGTTTAGTTACCTGTCTTTGTGAAAGGAAAAGATAAAGGAGGGGCTCTGCTACAGCAAACTTGCCATTTCCAACATGAAAGATATTGATAATGACATTGTCTTTTGCCCCATTGATGGAAGAAAATTGACAAATCACTAGGAAACTCCTGAAATGAAAATTCTTTAGATTTTAAGTCAAACACAAGTTTTTCACCTTCAGGTATGTGAAGGTGAAGATGTGCTGTCACTAACTTGGTACAGAACTGAAGTCTAAAGATTTCACAGACTTTCAGCATTGTTAAGCGATCAGCTTAATTATTTTTTCTCAAAATAGTTCTATCAAAGAGTGTTAATTATGAAATTACTTGAAAACACCATCCCAAAACATCTGGTGTCTGGATCCCAGTCTACGTCTAGATGTTATAATTAGTGACTTGTGAGAAATTGAGACCCTGTTTGTGTGCAATGAGGGTAATGAAATACTAGAGTGACTGATATCCTTAAGTTTGAGTCAGCAGACAAGTCAGACTTAAACCTAACTTGTTGGGACTGACAACTGCACACCTTTCAACCCACCCATCATTTGTGGAAGACTCGCAATTCCATGATTGTGCATGTCTCTAGACATAACAGACTACTTCTCTTCCAAAACTGCATTTTTCAATTATTTAAAATTTGCCATCATTGTCCTGAAGAATAAAACAAAGGACAGCTTGTGGTTGATTACAAAAGTCTGAAAGCAAGTTTTCCAATTAAATCTGTATGTAATCGTCCATCTCTGCGTAACACATGGAGCATTTGGTTCCACATGATTATCAACCAAAACTGCTCAGCATTTCTTAAAAAATGATTTCAAAAATTATAATCATGGTGTTCGGATTAAAAATATAGATTGACTTTATTATGCCAACCAAATGCCCTGCCTATACAACACCTGGATCGACTTTGAAAAAGAAGAGATATGTTTGCAAGTATCCAGAAACCTGAAGGGAAGGTCTTCTCTTCCTTGCTCAAGGGAAACAGGACACATGAGTCCTTAATTACAACATGTTGTCAGGAGCATATTATTACTTGATGCAACACATTAACAGTGAAAGACAATCTCAGGTTGCAATGGCGAGTTCATCCTTACGATCAATAACATCATTAAGGCTTCAGGAAAACCCAGTTGCATACCAAGTGATGGTACTATCAGAACCTGTCTGTGATGGTGGTTGCAGAACTCAACTTATATTTAGTTTCACAGACCTTTCACTTAGAGGGTGCGGGGTGTTTCTGGACCATGAAACTGCTGAATAGTGTGGAAATACAACAGTGATGATGATCATAAAGAATGGCCTTCCCTGCATGTGCCTGTGTACAATCTCTAATCATCAGAGAAATAGTTTGAGGCCACTTACAGATGTTTTGAGCAAGTAAATGTTTAAGCATTTATTATTAAATTTAACTAACATTCATCATTAACAAACTGTGATAACCAAAATCATATGAAACCTATGCAACAGCATGGAAATACATTAAACAGAAAATGTATTATTCCAATATTGATGTGTTTCTATAAGTGATTTTAAATTGTTGTTTTAAAATATTTCTGTGCTCTTAATGAATTACTGTAATATCTGTAAATCGTATTGATATAATTAAATAGCTGTGTGTGTTCATTTTGCACATATAAATTACAAATAATGGGGAAAACTGCCAATTGTTTTGAAATTTGTTTTGACTTTGATTGTGAGTTAATTCAACAGAACTACACCACAACTAATTGCCCTTGTAATCTACTAACAGAGGCCATGACCTTGACTGGAAGAGCCTGATAGCCTATTGTTCTGACAGTGTAAATGTGATGGTTGGACATGCCTCTGGCTGTCAAGAATTAGGGAGAAGCGGCCAGCAGTGGTTGACCTTGGCTGTAACGCAAACTGGCATACGTGGTGATGAAGTCACAGAACAGTAAGGTACCCTTAGTGATTAACGTGTCCGTTCACACTGAATACTCGAGTTCGAATCCCAACATGGGTTCAATATGTGAAACCCATTTCTGTTGTCCCCTGCCATGATATTGCTGGAATATTGGTAAAATCTGCATAAGACCATACTCACTCACTGGTGATCAAGTCGGCTATCAAAAAACTCTCTGGTCAAAATGGTAACATGACTGGTAGTATTTCAATAATTATTTGTATATGTTAAAATATTCTTGTGAAACAGTGACTTTTATAAAACAGAAGTATTAACAATAATAAGACACTGTCGTCAGATTGTCTAGGAGTTGAAAAACTGAAAAATAGTATTATCTCAGTTTTCACAGTTTGCAGTACGAAGATTACAGTGTTTTACAATTCCTCTCAGGAGGTTTAGGATGAAGCCCACTCAGGACGGCTCAGCTGATCCTGGAACAGTGGCCAGACATTTCTTCCAATCACTCTAACATGCATGAAGTTGTATTTCCTGATAAAGTCAACGTTTGGGAGAAATGAAATTATCTGATGATAAAACTGGATGAGATGAGCAGTGATCAATGATAATTTAATAAATTTTGACTGATTTAACGTCATTAATTAGCTACAATTACACAATGTACGCAGATGAAGTGAAGGTGTGCGTCATGCTCACACACATGCAGAATCTGCTGGGGTAGTATCTGACAATGTTTGTCGAGAGTCAGATCATAAACCACTAACTAAAGACGAATTCACCGAACAGGAGAACAAGTTTTTTTGAAGATCTTGATTTGATCAACAGATCAACGGAGCAAGATCATCATTATACAATGTTCTGACATATGAGGCATACACAATGATTACAGCCATTAAACTTGGTTGCCCTTTATTAAAAACTCTACAGTGCACCTGATGAAGGAGTAAGAATATACCCTGAAATGTCCTATTCCTAAGAGTACTATGATGAAATCCATAAACGCCCTGATTTTGTGTACCACTTCCAAATGCCATTGTATACTGTGTATATTTTAGAAATATAAGACTGTTCTACCAGGTTACATTCTCACAATGATCAAGAAGCCTACATTTGGTAATGCAGTCCTATAAAATACTTGCTGGATCAACCTTGACCCTGGATGGCACCAACAGATTGAAGCATCTCCCTGCCCTGGACATCAAGTGCCAGGTTCAAACTCTGACACTGCTGACACTCAGATGTTCGAGTCAACCATGAAGAAGGTAAAGACAAACAGGAGATCCGAGCTGGGCAATTCCACCATTTGTGCTGCTCTGCTGATTTGCAAAGTGAATTGTAGGAACTGTGCTACTGCTCCTAATGCAATAGAATTCAGTAGAATTAGGAGAACTTTAAGTAAACCTAATTATACAACACAACTTAGACACTGAAATCTCTAAATAAACATCTGTTGTTGTTTATTAGATTTTTAAATACATCTAATCCAACGTGATATGACACTTTTTCTGAGCCTCATTAAACTTGTGAATTATCCGCTTCAAGTGTTATTGTCACTTTATAAAAAACTGACCCATTTTAAAAGCCAAAAATTGCCATGTTGACAGGTCTGGAATTGTCCCAAGCATAGCCCTTCTGTAAGAGACACTCAATGTGAAAGTCCAAGTAAAAGTGAGTGAGTGAGTGGTTGTGTCAACATGGAGACAGAACTGTTTCAGAGCAGTTTTAGCTTTATTGTTCCTCTCTCCTTGAATGCTGCAGAAGCAAGGCAGCTGTCCAGACAATGTATTCCTATGATATCTATAATGGTAAAAGCCACAAAGTTGGGCTCGCCAACAAGTTTATCAGAGATGGTGATATAAAAGTGACAGTGTGTTTGATGAGGGGACAGTAAGTGTCCCTGTAGCCTGCCACAATGGGGTAGCACCCTGCTGACCTGCACTGAAAAATCGTAGGTCAACAATGTCCACTCACAAAAAGGTCACATGGGTCATAACAATATTTCTGAAGTCCCATCTACTAAATTTTTAATCATCGTCCAGATAGTGTACTGTGAAACTGGCATTATGCGGGACCAGTAGAGAATGGCTTGCAAGACAGAGCTGGACTGCTAGGAGTTGGTCACAGGAAGAACATGTCACATTTACACAATTCATCTCCCATCAAGAGGAGGGGTTTTGATTGACAATGACTTAATTACCTTGCCCTTGTTTGCCTGATTACAGAGTTAATCGCCAGGTAAACATTAATATAAGGATTGCTAACATGCTAATCCCTGATCTGATCTGATGATCTGACAGCCACTCAGGGGTTGAATTTTTTTTCAAAACTCCACTGGACACAGGTCCAGTAAACTTTCAAAATCCACTTGACCAAATATTAATTTCACTTGACCACAATTAACAATTTGGTTTCTTTTGCAAATAATCTTTATCAATTGGTAGCAACTGCATTTTGTTTCATCATCAAAATACATATATCAAAACATTTCAGTAGTTTGGCACTACGGTACCACGGTAAAGTTTAATGTGGATATTTACTTGACCGACCGTAGAATTCCACACGACCCGGGCAATGGTATTTTTCAACCCCTGCCATGCTGTATGTAGAGATGTGACTTGGACAATTAGTACCAAGAATAAGATTTTTATAAAAAAATGTGTCCATAGAAGAAAGGGTAAGATTCAAATGGAGCGGAGTAAAATGGTAAATTGCTGAGGCAATCTGTTATGAATTGACAACCTCTTTATTACAATAGATACTAACACTGTTAGTGTTATCAAGCAAGTGATCACTTGCTTGATAACGGTGCTAGTATCAAGTCAGCGATACTGATTTACTACAGATCTACCATTAGGTAAAACATGTCGTCCACAAGGGATTGTCACCAGTCATACGACTGGGTTCCAGCTTTATGGGATGCAGTGGGGGATTCAGGTCCAAGAAACATATCACTTTGAGAAACTTACAAACCAGTGATCTTAATCACAGTTAACATGGGATTACAACCCATGATCTTGACATTACCAGGTCACTATCAATCAGGTGACATCTGAGTGTCACATTATACATAATTAAATCTTAATTACAGTAATGACTTCTTAAACAACATTCCAAGTAAATTTCTTCTTCCCCTACTATTAACTTAATGATCAGATGAATTTTAATGATCAATTATTTTAAGTTAGTTCCAGCCTGTTGCAGATCAGTGAGCATCTCTCCAGGGGAGAGGGCATCATGTAGAGCAGAGACTATATGTTCTCCGGGATGAGAACAGGTGCTCATCACAGACGACATGGGGAAGTCTCCACACCTGTCATCGACATACTTCACAGGCTTTCACACACATGCAAATTGTCACCAACATCTCAAAAGTATGCATTAATTGACACTGACCTCGGACTACTACCATTAATATTCTGTTAATGTGAACTTAAGCATGAGCTCGTATTTTTCACATTTGCACATAGAATTCATTAAGCAAATAGTCTGAGGTCTGTAATGCTTCCTCCCACTGTCTGGGTGTGGGGTGTGGGGAAACACATGTTCAGACAAGCTGTGATGAAGGAGAGCACCTAGCTGGTAGAACACTGACAAGTTGTGAGGCAACCATTAAGTAATAGAAAAACCTGAGTAAATCAATGTCTTCTCTCCTTCACATCACAACAGGGGTGTTGTTTATGTTGACAAACATCACAAGGGTTAAATTGCAGGTGTTAGTAGTTTTCATGCACCTGAGAATTTGTTGCAATCCTCTCATGAATAGTAATCAGCCGCTCATGTCCGTCCTGGAGGACAGGAGACACAGGTTATGCAGGTATGTGGGGGAAGGGGGTGTACTATTGGGGGCAGGAAATGGGGTCTGTTGGAGGGGACACTTAAAGGAGCACTTCTTGGGACATCAAGTGGGTCATTCATTGTGAGAACTGAATTACATTGGGTAGTCCATGGGACAGGGAGAGAGCACTGAGTTGAAACAAAAAACTGGGAATTGCAGTTTCAGGATGATGGACAATATTTGGGTGACGGAACATGTTGAACTATTTCGGGCACAGAACATGGGCCACTTTCCCATTTTGGAAATAACATCGGGCACAATGTGTGGGAAAGACAACAAGGGAACTTGAAGGGAAGGAGAAAGGGGAAGGACAAAACATAGGGCACAGTATGGTCAAAGAAAAAGGGGCACTCTTTTGGGAACGGAAAATAGGGCTCTTCGATAATGTTTAGGATCAGAACATGGTGCAATGTAAGGGGGGACACAACATGGGGCACTGTGGAGGGAATGTACATTGGTCACTGTATGTGGGACAACATGGGGCACATGGGGTGGGGGGTGGCAGCAGAACATGGGGAACTGTGTAGCGAACAGAACATAGGGCACTGTGTGTGGAACTGAACTTGGGGCACAGTGTGTAGGGGACAGAACATGGGGCACTGGCTGGGGGACAGAACATGGAGCACTGGGGGGGACAGAACATGAGACACTATGTGGAGGACAGAACATGGGGCACTGTGTGGGCAGAACATGAGACACTGTGTGGGCAGAACATGGGGCACTGTGTGTAGGGAACAGAACATAGAGCACTGTGTGTGGAACTGAACTTGGGGCACAGTGTGTAGGGGACAGAACATGGGGCACTGTGTGGGACAGAACATGGGGCACTGGGGTGGGGAAAGACAGAACATGGGGCACTGTGTGTGGAACAGAACTTGGGGCACTGAGTGTGGAACAGAACATGGGGCACTGGGGGGACAACATGGGGCACTGGGGGGAGACAGAACATGGAGCACTGTGTGGAGGACAGAACATGAGGCACTGTGTGGGGCAGAACATGGGGCACTTGGTGGAGGGAGGGGACAGAACATGGGGCACTGTGTGGAGGACAGAACATGGGGCACTGTGCGGGGCAGAACATGGGGCACTGTGTGTGGGCGCAGTACATTGGGCACTGAGTGTGACGGACAGAACATGGGGCACTGTGTGGAGGACAGAACATGAGGCACTGTGTGGGGCAGAACATGGGGCACTTGGTGGAGGGAGGGACAGAACATGGGGCACTGTGTGTGTGGGGACAGAACATGGGGCACTGTGGGGGGACAGAACATGGGGCACTGTGTGGGACAGAACATGGGGCACTGGGGTGGGGAAAAGACAGAACATGGGGCACTGTGTGGAACAGAACTTGGGGCACTGAGTGTGGAACAGAACATGGGGCACTGGGGGACAACATTGGGCACTGGGGGAGACAGAACATGGAGCACTGTGTGGAGGACAGAACATGAGGCACTGAGTGGGGCAGAACATGGGGCACTTGGTGGAGGGAGGGACAGAACATGGGGCACTGTGTGGAGAGGGCCGGAACATGGGGCACTGTGTGTAGGGGACAGAACATGGGGCACTGTGGGGGGGACAGAACATGGGGCACTGCGTGGGGGAAACATAACATGGGGCACTGTGGAGGACAGAACATGAGACACTGTGGAGGACAGAACATGGGGCACTATGTGGGGACAGAACATGGGGCACTGGGGGGGTGTGTAGAACATGGGGCACTGTGTGTGGGACAGAACATTGGGCACTTAGTGTGGGGGGGGCAGAACATGGGGCACTGTGTGGAGGACAGAACATGAGACACTGTGTGGAGGACAGAACATGGGGGCACTATGTGGGGGCAGAACATGGGGGCACTGGGGGGTAGAACATGGGGCACTGGGGGCAGAGAACATTGGGCACTTAGTGTGGGGTGGGGGGACAGAACATGGGGCACTGTGTGGAGGACAGAACATGGGGCACTGTGTGGAACGAACTTTGGGCACTGTGTGTAGAAAGAACTTTGGGCACTGTGTGTAGGGGACAGAACATGGGGCACTGTGTGTGGGGGGCAGAACATGGGGCACTGTGTGTGGGGGCAGAACATGGGGCACTGAGTGTGGGACAGAACATGGGGCACTGTGTGGAGGACAGAACATGGGGCACTGAGTGTGGGACAGAACATGGGGCTCTATGTGTGGGGGTACAGAACATGGGGCACTGTGTGTGGTACAGAACATGGGGCACTGAGTGTGGGACAGAACATGGGTCTCTGTGTGGTGGGGTAGAACATGTTGGCAGCTCATGATGAACGCCAAGGGGAAGATGGAATTTTCATATGGAATAAACTTCTTTCTTTGTTACCTGCATGATCATAACATGAACTCATGACCAGTGCACAAACAGATATTTTATGAGAGCTTCACAATAATTTCAGCTTATACATTTAATTGCCAATCTGCTCTTTATCATGAAAGAAACCTATAAACAAATAGAACTACATCAAGCAATAATTACTTTCAAATGATCAAATGCACGTGAGGAACTCAATTAACGACAGTTTACTGAATGCACATACCATCCCTAACATTATCTGCAATAAAACATGCATAGACCTCAAGATTCAGGTATCATAATTTCCCTACAACTATAACTAATAAACTAACAAAATCTTATCATGACTCTGTTGAAATAGACAGGTTATTTTTCATCAAACTACAGAAATTTAGAGTTATTTCAACCTACCCAGGGGTTCAAAATTTTCTTAAAAAGTAACTTGTCCTGACTAATTTTCCACTTGCCCTGATTTTATGAAATAATCATGATGATGTAATTATGAAAGAATAAATCAACATGGTATTTGATGCTAATGTTTACTGGACTATTTATTGAAAAGTGATAAATAACAAAGAAAGATAACTCTACTTCATTATCATTGCAAAATTTAATAGCTACATTTTGAGCAGATATGAATTTAAATCCAAGTTTATTTGCAGTTTGAAACCATAAGTGGAATTATCTAGTAGCCCATTTTTGAACCCCTGCTACCTAAGCCAAAACTTTATTGCTATATCTGAATGTGTATTATAGTATACAAGATACCTGGAACACAAGCACCCCAACAAGGATACAAAAACATTTTTATCGTCTAAGGAGATGCAATAACAATGAGACAACTGTGTTTTCCATATGCACCATGATGGATTTTCTTTGTAACTTTATCTCGTGAGTTTCATTTGTTTTTCCTAATGAGTAATGCCATGACAGAGCAGCACTCTGCTATTGTGGACACCGAATACCTAAGTGAGGTGACATGTTCAACCAGCTTGTGTCACCTTACAGCAGTCCAGTAGTACCACCTGACTGCCCTAACGACCCTCGGTAATCACTACCGCCACACATCGGCACCAGCCACAGCCACGGCACATCAGTCGAACTGCCGCCGCCTCTGTGACCGTGTCAGGTGTATAATCACCAACTACTCTGTTCCAGGGTTCCGGTGACAACTCCACATATGTCGTAATAACCACCTTGAGAGAGCTCAGAGCTTGGTTACTTAGTTCTCTGGGGTTACAGACATTTTGGACATACAAGAATAGAGAGTGTGTTATGGTGTGACTTTTAGTCAGTAATTAATGTGGAGGACTCTGGAATAGGAAAATATCGAAGCTACAACACAGCAGCCTGTAAATAATCCAGTCCATCAAAGACAAATACATTGAAGCAAGAGAAACATCTACTTTGTCCAAATACAAAGAAACACTGTCAATACCAGGTCATTATTGTTAACAGTTCTCACCATTTCAGCTGAATCCACAAAGTTATTCTGTGAAGAAACTAAGAAAGTGTTGTCAGTACTGACCATTTTCGAAGTCCCTGAGTGTGTGCCTGACTGAGCGATGGTTCTTGATGATGTCACCCTCCACCCTCTTCAGCTCCCTCTCCTCCTGCTTGTGCTGCCACATGTGGTCCTGGAAACACATGGACAGGTAGTGAGGACATGGCAGGGGACCATAACAGAAGTAGTGAGGGCATGGCAGGGGGACGGTAACAACCAAAACACATGTAGTGAGGACATGGTAGGGGACTATAACAGAAGTAGTGAGGACATGGCAGGGGGACGGTAACAACCAAAACACATGTAGTGAGGACATGGCAGGGGGACGGTAACAACCATAACACATGTAGTTAGAACATGGCAGGGGGGCGGTAACAACCATAACACAGGTAGTGAGGACATGGTAGGGGGACAGTCACAACCATAACACAGGAAGTGAGGACATGGTAGGGGGACGGTAACGACCATAACACAGGTAGTGAGGACAAGGCAGGGGGACGGTAACAACCAAAACACAGGTAGTGAGGACAAGGCAGGGGGACAGTCACAACCATAACACAGGTAGTGAGGACAAGGCAGGGGGACGGTAACAACCAAAACACAGGTAGTGAGGACATGGCAGGGGGACGGTAACGACCATAACACAGGCAGTGAGGACAAGGCAGGGGACAGTCACAACCAAAACACAGGTAGTGAGGACAAGGCAAGGGGACGGTAACAACCAAAACACAGGTAGTGAGGACATGGCAGGGGGACAGTCACAACCATAACACAGGCAGGGAGGACAAGGCAAGGGGACAGTCACAACCAAAACACAGGTAGTGAGGACAAGGCAGGGGGACAGTCACAACCATAACACAGGTAGTGAGGACAAGGCAGGGGGACGGTAACAACCAAAACACAGGTAGTGAGGACATGGCAGGGGGACGGTAACGACCATAACACAGGCAGTGAGGACAAGGCAAGGGGACAGTCGCAACCATAACACAGGTAGTGAGGACATGGCAGGGGGGTAACAATCATAACACAAGTAGTGAGGACATGGCAGTAACAACCATAACACAGGCAGTGAGGACAAGGCAGGGGACAGTCACAGCCATAACACAGGTGGTGAGGACAAGGCAGGGGGACAGTAGCAACCATAACACAGGCAGTGAGGACAAGGCAGGGGACAGTGCTGACCATAACACAGGCAGCAGTGAGGACAAGGCAGGGGACAGTAACGACCATAACACAGGCAGTGAGGACAAGGCAGGGGGACAGTAACAACCATAACACAGGCAGTGAGGACAAGGCAGGGGGACAGTCACAACCATAACACAGGCAGTGAGGACAAGGCAGGGGGGACAGTAACAACCATAACACAGGTAGTGAGGACATGGCAGGGGACAGTAACAACCATAACACAGGCAGTGAGGACAAGGCAGGGGACAGTCACAACCAAAACACAGGTAGTGAGGACAAGGCAGGGGACAGTAACAACCATAACACAGGTAGTGAGGACAAGGCAGGGGGACAGTAACGACCATAACACAGGTAGTGAGGACAAGGCAGGGGACAGTAACCACCATAACACAGGCAGTGAGGACAAGGCAACAGTCGAACCATAACACAGGTAGTGAGGACATGGCAGGGGGGCGGTAACAATCAAAACACAAGTAGTGAGGACATGGCAGGGGGACAGTCACAACCAAAACACAGGTAGTGAGGACATGGCAGGGGGACGGTAACAACCAAAACACAGGTAGTGAGGACATGGCAGGGGGACAGTCACAACCAAACCACAGGTAGTGAGGACATGGCAGGGGGACAGTAACGACCATAACACAGGCAGTGAGGACATAGCAGGGGGACAGTAACGACCATAACACAGGCAGTGAGGACAAGGCAGGGGGACAGTAACGACCATAACACAGGCAGTGAGGACATAGCAGGGGGACAGTAACAACCATAACACAGGCAGTGAGGACAAGGCAGGGGGACAGTAACGACCATAACACAGGCAGTGAGGACATAGCAGGGGGACAGTAACAACCATAACACAGGCAGTGAGGACATAGCAGGGGGACAGTAACAACCATAACACAGGCAGTGAGGACAAGGCAAGGGGACAGTAACGACCATAACACAGGCAGTGAGGACATAGCAGGGGGACAGTAACAACCATAACACAGGTAGTGAGGACATAGCAGGGGGACAGTAACAACCATAACACAGGCAGTGAGGACAAGGCAGGGGGACAGTAACGACCATAACACAGGCAGTGAGGACATAGCAGGGGGACGGTAACAACCAAAACACAGGTAGTGAGGACATGGCAGGGGGACAGTAACGACCAAATGACAGGTAAGGAGGACATGACATGGGGACAGTTACGACCAAAACACAGGTAGAAGACTTAATACAGCATTATCACACATCATTAAGCAAGCTTCAACCCAAACTCTATCCACAACATGTCAACACTTCATCATTTGGGACTGGATGTGTAACGATATGGCAATATAGTATTGTATCAAGATCAATTCTCACAATAATATACATTGACTCATTACTCCAGTATTGCAATACATATGATTCATTACAATACAAGTTATACTGATATGATTTCCTGGTTGGCTTTAATAGCAGAAGCTGCACAGTGCCCCCAAGATTATATGTTTCTCCTCTCCCCCTCTTTGCTATCTGACATTTGAAAAGAAACAATTCAGGATTGTCATTCACCTGCAAAAGGGATAGAATACAAACTTATGAAAATTAAAGTACTGCATCAGGATACAAATTGTATTGCATCTGTATCATTGAGATACGTATATCACACCCAAAGCTCTTACTGGGAGTTAACTAAAGTCAAGTTGGACTCACCTCGATCACCCTGATTCTTTTATCATAGTCCTTCTTGTCTCGCTCGACCCTGGATGTGAGGTTGACCACACTCGGCCGGTCGGAGTTGGACTGGGCGCGTTTCCGCAAGGGGTCATTCCGCAAAACGTAAGGGTGACCATACCGGGAGGAGTCCACGAAGCCATCTGGACCTACTTTCCTCTCCTGCTCTCTGCACAACAAAGTACAATAATGTGATGGGTAAACCATTTCACAGCATACGTTACATGTTCTGGAGGGAGGGCTTTGGCACGTTTAGAATGTTTTATTCATCATATCTTTTTTTGATATATATCATAGACTACAATTATCAGGCTGTGATTTTCTGATCTTCCTGAGGGCAGAGCTATAACATTTTCCTCACAATGCTTGATTGTATTCATGTCCAGGTTTAAACGCATTGATGTCATGGTTTCCACATGTTGAACCCACCTTTCCTGGTAATGTACAGTCAGTATTCCATAAATACAGCATTACAAGATTCAAAATGACAATGACGGATTGTAGCATTTTCAACTTCACATCCAGTACCTTGAGATATTTTTACAAGATGTGATATTCCTCACTCTAATAACCAAGTCTGACCACCCAATGCCTTCACTTGTTCCCCACGACAACTACAGCCTGCTGGGAAAGTGCCCTCATCCGGGAATTACCAAAGGGAAAAACATGGTTAACAGTGCTATAGTCTAGGGATGTCACGATACATAAGTTTCATGATTCGATACGTATCACGATACCTATTTTCGCAGCATTATGGCATAAATTTAGTTTCATTTTGAACATTAATACTTCATATTTTATAATTGTCCATGAAAACATCAACATTTTTTATTCTCAGAGATCAAAAAGTTCTAATTTCCCATCTTTGTGCATGAAAAATAATCATTTATGACTCGCATAACATAAAAAAAAACATGATACAATTGCAAAATGTAAATGATACACCAACATATTTAAACCGATACTTTCAAAACTAAATATCAATACAGCTTTGAATGTATCGATAATTGTATGGTCTTAGAAAATGTATCGATGCATCGATGTATTGTGGCATCCCTACTATAGTCTGTATGTGTCTTTCACTATGGTTAACTTGACATGCATTCAGAATTTCACGGGAACTCAAGGAACTTTCAAGTTTACATGTTATGCATAATTTCAAAAGTTCCAAAAGAAACTTTATTCACCAACACATACAATATATTGTAACATCTTATCAAAATTGGATGGTTGAAAATGGATGGTCTAATGCAAGCACAACTCAAAGAAACAATGGAATGCCCACAGCAAGGGGCATTTACATTGACTTGAACTAAACCTGTTGGTGTGATGTGTTGATTCTATAGCTACGTATGTGCAGTTACTTTGTGTGATTTACTAACAAGCACCAACATTCCTTTCTAGACACAACGTCAGAATCTGCAGGATTAAAGTATGAACATGTCTGCTGGTCTGGAAGACCCTGACAACTGAAGCCCTCATGTCCTCCTCTCACTCATGCTACACAGACTGAAAGGAGTTTAGGACATTGGACATAACTCAACAGAGTTGGAATCCAAGTATGAAGGTCCAGGAGCTGTGTCATAAACCTGATGTTAAACAATAAGACAGATGATGAACTACAATAAAATACTACAGCCAAAGTTCCAAATTCTTGGTATTATGTCAATGTCAGGAAATATTGTAAAGTAAAAAACATCTCACGCTTGATCTTATCACATAACTTCTTTTCAAAACATTCCTCATGATGACATATATTGTTCAGAGCCAATGTCACTCAAAAGTAATCTGTGCAAACATCTAAAATCTATAAACCAGCTTAATGCACAGCATAATTCCTAAAATATACCTGGGGATTCAAGAAGTTCTATTTCACTGACATGGAATAGGGGCCAACTTCAAGTTTATAACTACTTACTACCTTGTTATGTTCTTGTTTCCTCACTTACAATCCAAATAAAACACATAAACACCCCTGTGAACACCTTGTCGCACAATGGAGAAAAACATGTGTACCCTTGTAATCCTGGTAATAAACACAAACCTGAAGGCCTCCAGCACTCTCTGAAGTTTTATCAGTGTTTACAGGTTCTACCCTGGCTATGTCCATGTGACAACTACCTGACTGGCCAAGTGGACAACTATACACAAACATGCCTGAACAACGGAGCTAACACAGTACAAGTAAAGGGTGATAACATGTTGTGGTTCCTGCAGGTCACTGACTTGATCTTGTCAGTTTTGATAAATTTTGTTGTTATCCATTAAAACTACATTTGTTCCTTGAGACTTCTGAAAATATCCCTCTGAAATGAACAGTGAACCACAACAGATTATTTTAGGCCTATACTTGTGTTGGAATTGTTGTGGAATTGTTGGTGTACCCAAAATATCCAGGGATTGAACTGAAAAAACAGATGCATATATCACACATCATGACAATAACGATATGAGCATAAGGAATCGTATCACAATACTTGGATTAAACTGATAAACTCAGGGGTGGAAATAAGTTTAAAATTGCTAGTGTACTCCGGTACAGTGGCACATGTAAAGTCACTTGCCCTGAATGGGTTATTTCCACCCCTGAAACTGATTCTTCTAAAGCAGTCATGTCTAGGTAATTAAAGGGTTATCTCCCTTGCACTGCATGTTGACCATCTTGACTACACTTGCCTGTCTGACATACAAACAGACCTGAATGTACACACAGCATTTCTAAATTTAGTTCATTGCCAATATGAATTCATTTCACATTTGATTACAATATATATAAAATGATGTCATTTTACTTGGAAAAAGAAATGTGAGGTTCATACTTGAGAAATGCAGCATATCTCTTGTTTTCAGTGGTTGTGTCCCCCTCATCTGCGTTGCCAGGCGGGGCACTGTCTGGACGCCGGAGGAGGGTGTAGCGACTGTAGATGACAGGGCTGCGCTCAAATGGGAGATCAGTGAGAACCATGTTGGCAGGCTATGTTCACTCCACGTATCTGCAATGTAATGTCAGAACATATAGAATACATTTCATACCCTCCACCATGTTGTACAAGAGGCCAGAGAGGTTGAAGTTTCTTTAGAGCAGCCTAAAGGAAAGGGTTAATTCCCAAAATAAGCGATGTTTTCAAACAACACCAGTCAAGAAAAAATGTACCTCCATCAGCTGAGTTTTCTGTGCACCTCACCAACATTCAGAAATAAAATTGTAATGTGTGATGTGACTGTGGCAACATAATGATGTAATCTCCATAAGGCGTATCTCTCATACTGTCATTATGTTTTCACTGTGGCTTGAAACAATCCCCATCCCCCAGATTTGGTCAGTTTCAACTCAGAGTCTACTTCACAATCCAACATTTCCTGAAAGTAGTTTTTCCGTGGTAAAGTACAACCAAGCAGTGACGGATTGTGTAGGGGACGATCCATGTCACAGGATCTGACATCTTGGCTATTTCATAGGCCAGAGAGCAGTAGATTTTTACTGAGACAAGTAAAAGCAAATGAAATGGTAGTAAGTTTGCATAAAAATCTTGATTCAATAATTACATTTCTGTCACTATAATCAGTAAAAAGAAGGCTTTCTGCAACTCTTAGCATTGCATAAGAATGCAAGGTAATGACACAAAAAGCAGGAAATATCTCATCCTGTTTAGGTACCCAAAATTGGAAAAACATAGCCTTGATATATTATTTGACATGGATTATACCTTGGATTACTGATTTCATATTTAGCATATATTTATTGCTGTTTATCAAAAAGTATGTTATTGAGCTGTTTCAATTGAGTGGCCTGGCTAAGTATCAAGGTTGCATTTTGTCAAATGAACCCGAGTTTGCAAGCATAATTGTAAACAAAAAGAGAATAAATTTAAAATACAAAAATTAAAATTAAAACAGTATAGGTTCTTGAGAGGCATATAGAAGTTGGTAATCAAGTATAAGACGAAATATTATGGATGTCAACTTCTTCTTTATTGTATACACGTTTCTGGGCTATTCCTTGCCCCTTCGTCAGGTGAATGCTAACTAACAGATATACAGGATATATATACTAGTAATGTACATGAAGCCAGAGTGATTTTAAGCATGTATATACAATAAATAGGGGATTTTAAGATGAAAGATAATAAAATATACAAAAGCAGATATGGTGTTGTTACAGAGGATTAAGTTGGTAAGTGACAGAAGCCAATCAGTCTAATTGGTGTACAAAAGGGTGGCTGATAGTATACAAAAGGCAGCGTTGAGACTGTTACAGTGGATTAAGAGGTGATGGGTGAAGCCATGAACCTAATTGATTTCCCAGGCATTGGGTAGGTAAACCCCTTGATCCCTGTTCATCTGTGGTGCTAATCTTTTGATGCTGATAGACTCCGAAATCTTGCGTCTTCGCCAATCATGGATGTTGGATGCTATGATGGTTGTAGCTTGCCAGTCAATGGAGTGTGATGGATTGTTCACAATGTGTTCAGAAAGGGCTGACTTTAGATCTGATTTCTCTACTGAGGTTTTGTGCTCTTTGAGCCTGATGTCAATGGAGCGGGATGCCTCTCCAACATAGCTGCTGCCACAATCACACATTAGCTTGTAAATGCAACCCCTGGGCTTGTGACTGGTGTTGGTTGAGGTACCTCTACCATTGGCCTTCAGAATGGTTTTTAGTGTTTTGTCCGAGCTGAAGGTCACATCTATACCAGCAGTTTTCTTGAGCTGTCAGCTGATATGGTGGCTGATCTGACCTTGGTAGGGGATGTTTACTCTAATCGGGGATGGCTCAGGCTTGGGTTGGTGTTCTTCTTGCTGTTGGAGGGTCAATGCTATGGTTCTGTCCACAAGACGTTTGGGATAGGGGTTGAGGTTGATAAATGTGGTATTTAGATGGTCTATTTCTGCTTGGAGATGGTCAGGGTTGCAGATGGATTTAGGGTTGATACAATGGCGCGTTTGATCTGGGGGTGATGGTTGGAGAGGTAATGTATATACTGGTCAGTGTGGGTGGGTTTCTGTAGACGGAAAAGGTGATGTTGTCTGAGGAGTTCTGCAAGGCCACATCTAGGAACGGCAGTTTCTGTTGGTCTTCTATCTCCATCGTGAACTGAATGCGCAGGTGCTGCTTGTTGAGATGGTCAAGGAGGATGGCAGGGTCGTGGTCGGGATCTAGGATGGTGAAGGTGTCATCCACCTTTCTGTACCAGCAGAGTGGTTGGAAAGGGGATGTAGCCAGGGCTGTCTCTTCAAAGCTGGTCAAAGGTCACCAAAATAGACTGGGCCTTGCACTTTCCCTAGATGAAGCTTGGTGTCAAATATGAAGAAAATCCAGTGAATGCTTCTTGAGATATCTCGCTGACCATCTAACATGCAGGTTAACACACTGAAATCTTCAAAGTGTCACTGTGACCTTAAAATTAAGTGAAGGTCACCAAAATCAACTGGGCCCTGCGCCTTCCCTAGATGAAGCTTGGTGTCAAATATGAAGAAAATCCAGTGAATGGTTCTTGAGGTATCTCGCTGACAAGTATAACATGCAGGTTAATATGCTGATACATTCAAAGTGTCGCCATGACCTTGAAACTTCAGTGAAGGTCACCAAAATCAACTGGGCCTTGCGCCTTCCCTAAAAAAAGCTTGGTGTTCAATATGAAGAAAATCTAGTGAACGGTTCTTGAGATATCTCGCTCACAAGGGTAAAACGTTAAAGTCCCCTTGTGACCTTGAAATTAAGGTCAAGGTCACCAAACCTGACTGGGACCTTTCTTATACTGTGATGAACCTAGGTACTAAATATGAAAAGAATCTAGTCAACGGTTTTTAAGATATTTCAATTTGTACGTATGGACGGAGCCTAATACTATATCCACGCTTCGCACTAAACGCTCGGCGGGTGATAATAATATTGATGGGACTTTGTATTTCAATCATCAATATCAGAGGTCCGAAACAATGAGGTTTTAACATGTTTAAAGGTACAATGTCACACGCATTTCTCTGAAAATACATAATGCATTTCTCTCAATAATACTAACTATCAGCCCCCAGAGACGCTACCCTAAGATACGCTATTTACGTATTTAGATTACAAAATTAAATTAAAAAGTTCAAATGAATTAATGCAATGTTGCATTAAAACGACTCTCACGCCCTCTACCAGACGAACATCATTTCAAGCAAACGCCATAGAGTTATGTCCATTAGAGCTCTTGTTACGAATATCCTACGCACAACTTGTGATTGAAACCAGTTCGGCAAATGTCGACAAAACTGCGTGCGACAGTTTTCGATGTGCGGAGCAATCGTTTACATTCCATATATGGCAAGTTTTTTTTATTGGAAGCTGTTTGCCTCGAAGTTTCAACATCAATAAGAAGCTGAAGTGAGGGCATATGCCCCCAATGTATAAAATATAGGCAAAAATATTGTCGAAAAAGCCTGACATCATGCCTTTCAGCTTATTTAAACATTAACACTGAATGTAGCACGATGATAAAATACAATATACAATTTTAAACAAACTACCAATGTTTCTTCATTTTGTCTATCAAAGACACTTGTTTGAAATCTTAAATAAACTCCTGAAGTATCAACAATGGAACTGGCCATTTTTCAGATGCAAAAAAAAAATACTAAGCGGGAATGAGGTAGGTCTTATTCCCCACTAAATAATCAACAAGTCAAAGTAATGACGTCTAACATTTAATAAGGCAGAACAGACACAAAAAATACTCTTAAACCAATGAAAAATCCCCCACACTACACCTTCTATCAATTCCATGAAAGTGAATATTACAAGAATGGTATCATGACATAATGGAAGTTAATTTCCACATACTAATTCCTAACTGCTGACTGAAGTGTTATGGAAGTTTTCTCCCTCAGTGGCAATATTTCAAGTGACGATGTTAAGCTGTGCAACGATGTCATCAAATACAGAACATGAAAAGCACAAGATTTGCAAAACCATGTGCACACTGTGTAGCGACAGGTGTATTAGGGCGAGCTGACCCAATAAAGACAGAGAACAGCTGTTTCCTTCTGTTGAGTGTCAATCAAATTTTATCCTACTTCTAATGGTAGTCAATAACCTCAGCTCAGAATGTTTTTTTGGCTTTTTCCAGAACCGAACACAAGTTCTACTCATGTTATTTAGCAGCTAACATTTATGATATCCTAACATATTCCTGTATCAATGCAAACAGAGTGTAGGTAAACATATTGCTTGCTTGAGCCAAGCCATGACAGTAACATCATCCACACTACTGATGTTAATGTGATCCCCACACAAACTGCCTGACTTCTATACATACAGCTTACAGTTGAGTACACATTGTAATCTGAACAACACAATGTCATCATGACCCTTCACCTTAAGTTCTGGTTCAGAACATTCACAGAAATAACCACATCTCTCACTCACATCTTGGCTGAAATAAACAGTAATTCTCATTATGAGTGAGTATGGTTTTACAGAAATTACACTGCTTGGAGCAAAATTCTTGTTAAGGAAACCAGAAATGGGACTCATAAGAAAGTGTGGAATCGAACCAACACTTTCAGCAGAACAAGCAAACACCTTAACCATAAGACCACCCCCATCGTCTCATCAGGGACTACCTACATCATCAATCATATACAACTAGACACAGGCTGGTCCAAGGACTGAGGAAACCCTCCTGAGGTTACATATACTACTCACATGAAGTTAAGAACACTTTATCCTGGCATGATCGATTACCTGTAGTCATGAGAAAACCATAGGTGATCTTTAACGTATTTACAGTAGTGTATGTATGATAAAGTAAGGGAGTTCTTTTTAAAATATTTTCAAATTAGGCACTCCGGAAGATGTTTTGGTGTGCCCTTTCAAATTTAAGTGTACCAACAAGGGGACTATTTTTCAACTACCAAAGAGAAAGAGGTTAGAATTATGTCTATTATGAACATGCATGTTGCTATGGTCATTCATAATGACATTTCAAAAGTATTTCAGAGAGAGATTTACTTATATTCAAATGTCTGCATAGGTCCAAATGGTAGTCCAAAAGGAAACGGCATGAGTCCTTACTGAACTGTTCTCAAACACGTAGACCTAAGTTAACTTGAATGCTGCATTCTTGACTAACCTACTTGGACTGGGTCACAGTTGCCAAGCTACCTAGCATCTGGAGGAACTACTTCTCCCCTACCCTCGCTGTGTCATGTGAACCATCAGTCCATTGTGGATCATAACTCATGGTGTCTGCAGTACATCCCTGGAAAAGCCAACATCTTAGAACCATAAAGTTTTAATGTTTAATTTCCAGGAATCACCAAACAGACCAGAACATGCAAAACAGCTACACCGATACATTTAGGTGGACAATTTACATCCAGACAAAGATACTGGTTAGTGATGATCACAAAGAGATGCCCCATATGGTGAAGTATGTCTGGATCGGAACATACCTAATTGATTGAGTGTAGTACAACCACCAAACGCTCCCTGACTTCTGTCTACAGATACCAAGAAGCAGGATTTGTTAATAATACATGACAGTGGTGGGTTGGAGCAACTGATACCACATCTAAACGGAACACCTGTACAACTACAATCAATACTCAGATCCCATGGGTTTACACAACGAGCTGCTTAGTGTATCTCAAGATGTGTACTAAAACAATCTGCTGATTGTTGGTTTATTGAAACATGAATCCAAACTTGGTAGTAAATAATAGAAACAGATGCTGATTCAAGAACAATGTACCTCTAATATGTTACTATTTTAATATATTCATATATATCTATCAAATCTATTCAGAAGAAATTTCCAGTACCATCATTTAGGGGTGAAACGGTATGCTCTTACCACGATACGAATTGTGGAAAAAGTCCTACCTAGACAGATTTTGACAAAATGATTCAATTTCCAGGCACTTTGGAAAAGGTTTAAAAAGGTTAATAAAATGATGGTACGAAAACTGAAAATACCATATTTTTGGATTGCACCTCGGTAAAATGAACCAAATGGAAAATACTGTGGTATACCGTTTCACCCCTGCCATCACTTCTTGTATAAGCTGGCAAAAACATAGACTGGAAGAACAACTGGTTGACCAGGACCCTAGGGTACAGTCACATTTACAGTATATTCACATATCTTTCTCTAAAACTGTGGTTCAGTGGTAAAGGAAAATTAAACAAAGTTTATCAAAACTAATTCCATAGTCAAATTGCATGGTCAATCACGTCAGTCACAAAAGATGCATATTTCTTATCAGTCTCAGTGATGAGACATCAGACTACCTGGTCGTGTTAATACTGACCTTTCACACTACAACATCAGCCAACTCCAACATGAGAGATTATCAATATTGAGCAGAGTTAATTAAATGATAACAATTCTCACAGACTATCAAGTCGACAAAAAACATAACATAGCCAATTTCTTCCAAAATCTACATGAAAATTCTGGATATACTCAATTTGGCCAGTCTGTTTTAGTTTCACCTTTACATTCTGTTCAAAATGTTCAGTGAGTGTTTCTGAGAAGTATTTTCTGGATCATGTGCTTTTGTTTGTAACTAGGATCTTGAAACATGTCACACGTATCCCAGTCACTCTCACACCATGCTTAATTTACTGCTGAGCAGTGGCTGCAAAAAATACCCTTCCACATGAAAGCAAACCATCAAGTTTTGATACTTCATCTGTCACAAAGAATCCAAGATGTTAAATTTTACAAAAGATATCCCTGTGTTATTTCACATTAGGCCAAATAAACAAAATGTTGTGGTTCCGATTACACCTCTTTAAAATTTAGGTTAGGTAGGTCAGAAATAAAAAATTTTTACATATTTTTTTTAGAAGTAAAGTACAAACTAATAACACATTATCAATGTGTAATTGTTTATTCAATCAAGCATGTGGCCATCATATCGACTTTCTCTATCAGAATGACAGATATCTGTTGGTGCCGGCACAAAAACAATGTTATCTGAAAGCTTATTTTATTCATTCCGCTTAAAAACAATAGGGTCGGCACCAGAATTCAACGGTCGGTCGGGTTATCGGAACCACAACATATTTTTTTAGGCCTTAATTATATATCCCTGATTATTTTTGGAGACCAAAGTACATTAATACACCACACCAAAAGTAGGTACACTGTTTGTAGTCAGATAACATGTTGAAGTCAGAAGGCATACCATATTTCTACTGACATAGAGATTGACAACCATTCAGTAAACAAGCCATGCTACATTTTATTGGTCAATACCCAGTATATGCCCGAGAACAGCAGTGCTGCATTCTACATATAGTCTTTATCCACAGCCACTAGTCCTAAGCCGGGGTCTGGTTTGTTCAATTCTTTGTTGTTTAATGCCACAATCTTCCAGCTTTATGACACCAGTCAGTAAATAGTAGTCCAGAAGACCCAAACATTTGGAGTTTTCAAACTTTAATGTATGGGCATATATACATTAAATTGTGTTCAAAGAGAATTTTCGGAGATATAACTAGACATGCTTAGTGGCCGATATTTGGCCCCAAGCCTTTGGCAAATGACAAAAAATTTCTAATTTGAATTAAACGTTTCCCAATACATCTGAACTTACAAAAATACAATGGGTATAAACACCTAATCTTAAAAAATGTGGCTCTTTTCTTTTCAATAGTGATTTAGTTTGGAATCCTAAATATAAAATCTTAAAATTTCAACATGCCAGCACACAAATAATTTTAGTAAATAAACTCACACATGTCTGAGAGCAGAGACTATATAATAACATAATATATTGTCTCTGCTGAGAGTAAATTAAGGCATACAAGATGACTTAAACCATGCTGTTTATGCAATCATTTGTGAACTTTTCAGATCTGATAGAAAGAAACACATACAATGAATTAATTAAAAACACAAGATCAATTTGTTTACACGTGTGGCATGTATGAACTCTACATTCATGCAACCTAGTTACCATTTCTGACTCCAACTGAGTGAGCTAAAATATTATATTATGGGAAATTTTGAAAAGTATGTTACAGTATCTCAAATAACTCATAATCTGATAAAAGCCAAACATGTAACTGAAGAAAATGTGACAATTGCGAAGATACAACCAACACACTGACAGGCTGAAAAGATCTTGTCATGATATGCAAATTTCTCTGAACAGTTACTGAGTTAAATAGCAGGTGCCCTTTGTTAATAAAAGCAGGTGCCCTCTGTAAACAAACACTGAATACACGATATAAGGGCATAGGAGCTGAAGATACTTACATTTTATTGTCGCTGTTAAATAATCTAACAGAAAGACCCTAAGTTGTTGCTCCTTGCACGTGTTGATTTCTCCTCTAGTGACTACAAAACGGCAACTTTGACACTGTCCATAGCAGCCGACATGCAGCCACGGACTCAGAGCAGAGGTCGTCTTGGAGATAGTAATTCACAAAATATCAATTATTCTATCAAGATTTAAATGATACTATCGGGACGACATGTCAATTCAGTCCTTTCGCTATTTTGACATTCAAACTTTGGCGTCACCATCCCGCCAGTTTCCATGAAAACGTGACTCCATTCAGGTTGCTATGCAAAACTATATATCCTTACGCGAGTACCGGTATTATGTGTCGTCATTGAAACACAGCTATAAAAAGTATAAACGAGCTTTGTTTGCATGCTCTAAAGTTTATGTATGCAAAAATCACCAACCTTTATAAAATTGTATATGTAGTATGATTATATCATTGAAGAGATTAACATTTAATAATGCACTATTTTCTTTCACGTCGGTATATCCGTCGATTCCTTGTTGGCGAGAGGTCTCATGTAAACAATCTTCAGGATGGAGGAGGAGGTACCGAGTGGAAGTGACAATATTGTTACAGAATTCAGCACATATGAAGATTTTCTGGATTCACAGATAACGTCCTTGGATTTATATTATCTCGAGGTTGTATTTTTTATAACTTGGTAATCAGTATTGTTTTGTTTGGGGCTGCAAAGTTCGTTCTATAGTGAGATATGATTTGTCATGAGACGAATGTCTTTGGGTCAAAATTGAATTTTTCGTCAAGGCGATACATGATCTATTTTACTTTTCCACATCCTATTACAGATAAATCCTTCATTATTGTTCGTAATTCCGTTGCCTAACAAGTCGCCTGGGGATGGAGATCTCATTTTGTAATAATTATCCTCATACATAATGGGGTTTATTACAGGGTTCAGCTAAATGTACGTGTTTGTACACCTTAGTGGATAAGGAACCATTTTTTAGGAATGGAATGTGGTTTTCTTCCTCAATGGCCTGGCAAATAAATCACCCAGTGATGTTCCAACATGCATAATAATGACACTTTCTTCAATATTGTGCTCATACGTGCCATGATTAAGTTCGTACTTTTTCAGTTTTGATATTTTTACATGGCGGATGTAGTATTTACCTTGAAACAAGATTTTTAATTTTAACCATGACCATTTGGACTTGAGAAAGTCTCAAATTGCTGCAGTTGTTCACTTCCTACATTTGCTGGGAGTCTTTCTCATTGATGTTGATTTCTTTCATAGGATGAAGAACTTGCACGTCAATTGGTGGAACTGGGCTACAGGGCAGTGGAGAGGTTCTCAAGCGTGAGGAATTTGAGGCCAGAAAGAGGGCAGCAGAGGCTAGCAGACTTTCAAAACGCAGCCAACAGAAGTGTGTTTAGTATATATGATTTATTATATCTTACCCTTCAAGTTCAATGACCCACTGTCTGTTGATGATGCTAAATGAGACATTGTCCAAGAGGATGCTATAAATCTGAACTATATCATGATTTTTGCGTGTCTTGTGTTTTTCATCACATGTTTGTACATGTTAGTGATTAATGTTTAAGCATATTAAACCTGTTCACGTGTACCTGTTATACTCAATTCCTAATTTGCTGCGACATTCCATGATGATGTTCTATGTAAGGGTGCAGTAACCTCATGGCTTAGTGAAGGCTGAGGGTGCTATTCTCAATCTCCTTACCGTAAGCATTAAAAAAGTAGAAATTAATATATTTTTGGTTTGATATGTGACACTTTGTATGTGATGAACTGACTGTTAGTGGTATATAGACTAAAAGAAATCCCAGTACACAAACTTTGTATTGATCAGTGAAGACAAAATCATCCCAGTCAACATCCATCACATGCATTCTCTGCATCATTTTGAAAATGACAAAAGCAGTCACCAATATGAAAACAAAACATAAGGCTTATGATGCTTAAGTTGACATTTGATGATCAATTATTGTGATTACTCACTCTGCTGTTATGTTGTCACAGAACACTTGCAAGCTCTGGCAAGGACCTGAAAGATCCTTTCTCAAAAGCTCTGGCTCAGAGAGAGGAAGCCAACAGAAGTGGCAAGATGACAGTAAGTTAGCCATCCACCTACTTCTTTGATACTTGAACTGTGGAACATAGAAAGGCTGCGTGGGCAGTGTAGAATATTAGGGACACCTAGCTAGAAACAAGACGAGAATCAGATACAAGCCTTGCATACCATGAGGGTTCACAATGCCAATGATATACCTATCCATGTCACTGGCAGATCCAAGAGGGGTACAGGGGGTACAAACAGACACACATAGACACATGGACAAACAAATCAGCAAGTGTGACCAACCAATCATTTTACTCGCCTATCTACCAGAGACCATAAAATATTACACTTTTGTTTAAAGTTCATCTTGGTTTATCAAAGTATTGAATGTTGCATTGTTGACCTGTACTGAGTCTGAAATACATTTGCATATTGGGAATGGCTCACTTTAATGTATTGTGCACATTTGCATCCCTTAGGTTGTGGTTTGAAATCCAATATTTGCACAGTTACAATTCTTTGTAATTTTATTAGTCATTCAGCTGAAACTGCATCTACAATCTGCCTCTTCATCTCAGTTTGGTTTTAGTGCAACATGAAGCTGACACATAATGATGTAACTGAAGAAGTACTGTGGATTTAGATTTCTACAGCTTCATCCGTTATGTGTATATAAGTATGTCATTGTTTAACAATTGTCAACTTTCAGACAATTATATTCATCCGCGACAAAAAATGCCAGAGGCCAGGAGATTTCTGGATACATAGACTACGCTCATCGTTTGAAGACTGAGGATTTCGAGCCTTATTTTGGAGGTCGCAAGAGATTGTTGCCTCGACCATCAGACCTGAGGGACATTACAGCCTAAAATGTCTGTAACTCACATATAGTTTGACACAAATTGGTTATGTTTGAATTACAGTCTAAGGACAGACCTTTTATTATTTCATGTTTACATTAGGTTTGGAAAAACTAAATATTTAAAATCTGAATAAGACTTTTCAATTTGTGTAGTTGGTTTTATCTTCTGAAACTAAGGGAAAAGGTTGTGTAGCTTCTTGTGTGTAACAATGGATATGTTGTGTAGCTTCTGAATTTTGACAACGGATACATGTTGTATAGTTTCTGATTGTAACAAAGGATATATGTTATGCAGCTGTACCATGTAACAAAAGATATATGTAGTGTAGCTTCTGATCAGTGAAAATTGATATAAATTGTGTAGCTTCTTATAAAGTGCACTTATTACCTAGCTTCTACAACTGGGAAACTCAGACGTCCACCTCCAACCCAACACCCAACTACCAGGTCATAGCTGAAAATGCCTCAGGTTTGCTCTTCAAGAACAAGAGAGACCGGAAAATTATCAATGTTGATCCAAAGGTGAGTTGAACATTTTTCATCCAAAAACACTATCAATACCCCATAACTTGAGTGAAATTGGCATTGTTGGTCAGGGAATTGCGAACCATTGCTGGTCGGGTCACAAGTTAAAAAGCATCGGTGTATACATGAGCACAAACTAGAATCAGTCTTTTCCTGAATCTTTCACATGACAAAGAATTTACAAATCCAAAAATAAGTTTCTTGAAATTTAGAAAATACAAAGAGATGATTACACAAAACTAGCATAACTTTAGAAGTTGTTGAGACTCAGTGATCCGTACTGCTTAGACCTATATATAGTATACTGTACTTGAGCATAGGCGACCATGAATATTGGGGGGGGGGAAGAGAGTGTAATGGAAAATTGTTCAGTATATATGTTATGCTGTTATTTGGATTCAGCTGTTTCGTACTATTCTTCAAAATTTCAGTATGGTAATTAGCAGATTAGTAATTTCATTTTCAATTCCTACAGAATTGATATATTGGTACACAAAAATCATTCCTGAGCCAGTGTTAAATATTTTATAAAGATAGCTGGGCTGATAATTCACAAAGGTTACCCATCCGGTTTACAAATAATGAATGAAAATGAATGGTCTAATATCTGTTATCACATTGTTGACATTATTGATTACTTCAATCATTTTCAGCATAGTGTCCAAGGCAGATAAATATGAATACATCAACAAATCTTAAATGTTAAATTGGCTACAGTAAGATCATTTGCCTTCACAAATGAATCTCAGTATCCATAGATCATCATGTGAGCTTATATGAGTTTTAATGTTCTTTATTCATATATTTTACAAATGCAGTTTGAAACATCATATTTTCTAAAGTTTCTATTGCAATAAATCAGAATAGAGAGAAACGTACCTCAGGATGAGCCCATTCTGCATTCTTGATCGGAACTGTCATGCTGTTGTATTTTATTGTGTTATATAAGAAAGGAGCATACACAGTAGGGAATATTTCCTGATGCACAATACCGCTCACACCCAGTTGAACAGGAACAACTATATTCGGTTTCAGTTTTGGGATGTGGAAAATGGACCCGTTTAGAGTACCGGGTACGTTTCTGTATTGTGACGGGTTTTTTACCTTGGGTACAATTCTGTAGTAACTACCCCTTTTTACTGTTATTTTGAGGGGTCAGTTTTATTGAGATTGCAATGAAGTGTGTTCAATTTATGTTTTTCCATGGCAATGTGTTTCAGGCTCAGACTCCAGGAGACAATTCTACGCGGACAGTGGTAGAGACACCAAGATTCATCCAAGTTGTCATCTATGATCACATTACAAGGAGAAAAACATAAGATGTCAACATGATTGATTACTTTTTTGTATATACCTAAACTTGTGAAGTCATACTTTGTGTATGTGTAAATATATATTCATCATTACAAGACTTTATTGTCTTTTAAATTCACAGGGGTACAGTTTGTGTTCTGGAATCCCACACCATGATATTTAACTCAGTCAATCATTCTTGTTACCCTTTCTTGGCGCAGATAAGGATTATCTCCCTTAGTACATCAAGGGACTTTTGCCCCCGAAAGTAGAGATCAAATGAAGAGAGACCTATCAGTATTGGCTATTAATAATCTGCCATTTGTTGTAACTTCTATTATATACTCTTATAAAAAATTTATACTTGACATTGACTTTCAAAGTTTAATAACAAAACTGTTAAACAAGATACAAGCAACAAAAGATCATGACACTATAATAACACTAGACATGTATCTCTGGTAAACCACATGAAACATTTACACAGACGTGAGTGACATATGGGTGGTCAAAATGTCAGTATTGTTTATGACCACCATGAGCCCAGATGATGACGCATGGAAGCAATCAAACATTGCACAATATGCGAAGTGTTCTGTCACTCATGCTGCGGTGTCATAAGAAGTTGCGGCTGTGTCAGATTAGCTGCGGTGTCATAAGAAGTTGCGGCTGTGTCAGATTATCGCCAGACTGTCGTCATAAACCTAGAAAGTCGCTGGGTGCGACAAAGAAACAAATGTGCTGAGATCCTTTGACAGCAGGAAACGTGGCAGTGAATGTTCTCCCCAAGTTAAAGCAAGCAGATGTAAAGTAAAGTGAATATTTTATTTACGTGAAATGAAATTACCACTTGTTACAATGACGTGTATATAATAAATGAATTAACATGAAATCATACATACAGATAATTTACCCATCATAACATTAATTATTGTAATGTTCATCTCTGCAAGTACTGTCATTGCCCTTTCCACAAACCTGTCTTAAAGGATTGTAAATGGGGCTCTCTTCTGTCTGTTAATACATTATTGAATAAGCCATAGTAAACAGTCTAAATCAGTTGATATCTAACAGAACAGGGTCTCTGGCTGAAGGTTATGCAGGTCCTTCCAGCAACCACCCACTGAGTGGCGTCTTTAGCATGGTGATGGCACATCAAACACCGACGTGTTAGAAACCGGGGTTGAGAATCCGTTGAAGAACAGAGTCAAATTAACATAAGCTGAAACAATATAAGACATTGATGTAGAAATTGATATTTCCAAATAATTGCTAAAATCTTTCATTTAGGTAAAGACAATACTAGAAATGAATGACTAGTTCGAAGTTTCATTATGATAACTGATATCAACCCAAGAGAAGCATCCATGTGTAGGACAGTTTTGAAAGACAGACCTATTAGCAGAGGAGAGTTGCATCCCTTAACATGTGGTTATCCACAATTTGGTAAAAGTCCAAGGAAAGTGAAACTTTGAGCTCTCATCCCACAGTAAATTCAGTACTGTTATGTCACTGAAATGCTGGTCAGTTAGATATGTCTGATCATTTAACTGTTTAATGAGAATGATGAAATTAAAAGAGTAACAAATCAATGCACAACACGTGAACTTACGACCACTGATATCCTCGAAGATGGGAGTACAACTGTCTTGTGCCACGGTGATGGTGATGTTCATCTTGTAAGGATCCAGTGAAAATTTCCAGGCGTTAAAGGCAGTACCGTATTTGGGGAGACCAACATAGCTTTCTCCCAAGGAATGTTGCGGAATCTGAAAGAGGGCAATATATGCAGTCATCAACCTCTGGTCTTCTTGCTTTGTCACCATCACCAACATTGGAAGCAGTTCTTAATTGTTCTGTTGAATAATTGAATGGTAGATCAGATATTTAGTGGTTTAAATTGAACTCACTGGGCTGCATTATTTAAACTACTTACATGCATCTGCAGTACATGTGAAACCCCTTGTTTGGTTGCTTAGCTGCCATATTGTCTTAATATTGCTCAATGTGACGTAAAAACATCATCATGCTGCCAACCTTATAAACTCCGGGAGTCTGTGTCATTTCCTTATGGATGCTCACCTGGGATACAAGCGATCATAGGGACAGGGTTAGCAAACGATGTGCACTTGCCGGCTGGAGAGATCCTGTATGTTTTCCGCTGAAGATATACACGTAAACATTGGGGGATTAGGTTTTATACCTCACTCAATATAGGCTGTGGATGTTAGTCTGACGTACTTGGGTTTTTCCCAAGGGTGGTCAGAGTGTGATAAAATGCCACTGGCCTGACCTGTTACATGATGTAACCATCCAGGCTGAGGTGGACATGTCTGTAGGTCCTGTCTGATCCACATAGCCACAAACATTTACACTCCCAACTATTATAGCAATGACGCATCATGGTCGAATCACTATGACTGCTTTGTGGTACATGGGTTTATTATGTTCCATAATTCTTTTGGACTGAAACGAAAGACATGCATGTTGACAGCAGTGTCTACATGCACATTTAGGACTATTAACAATTTACACATACAGTGCTGCACACTGTCAACAACTTACCCATCACCAAATCAGTGCATGCACACACACACCAAGTGTGTTTGACAACAATGCAAGGCTGAAATTATCGCATTTGCCATTTGGCAACAAATCACAAACAGTTATCCAGATTATAATTTGCCATGTACCTTCTGTATCAATCTCTGACAAAAGAAATGTTTCACGCCACTGACAATATTTATCTGTGCATATGAAATAGTATGTTTCAAACACTATACAGTCTATTACCTGTTTTCCTAGCAATGACAGTGACACAATGTCTATACAAAACATGTTAAATATGAAGACTTACTTTGTTGTGGTCGGTGACGGTCCTAAAGCCTGCAACAGGGGCAGATCCGGGTTTCAGCAGCATTTCCTGCTGGGCTTCCTTCTTCAGGGTGAAATCGGAGTAGAATATAGAGTAGGGCTGCAGTGAAGTAAACAGATAATAATATAAACAATGGTTAAAGAAGGGGTGCAGGCTGAGTAAACAGACAATAATATAAGTGTTTAAAGATGGACTGTCAGTCAAGGAAACAGAATATTGAGAAAGCAGTGATCAGGAAAGAGCTGCAAGTCATGTAAATGGACATAACAGAACAGTATTTAAAGCAGCTGAAAATCGAGTAAACTAATTGTAGAGGAAGTAGTGATGAGAGACTGGCTCTAAGTCAAGCAAAACAAAGGAAGTAATATCTAAAGAAGGACTGGAAGTGAAGTAAAACTGTAGCAGAGTAAGTAGTGTACATCGATTATCAGTGATGAGTAAATAGATTGTTGTGGAGGCAGTGTTTTAAGATTCGAAGCATGTTTGTGTAAACAATCTATAGTTGACATACCTTCTAGAGTCACGAACTGAATGCTTGAATAAGATCATTCTGTTTGGGGATCACTACGTTTGGGCAAGACTTCTGCCCGTATTCCCCCTAAAGTTTAACGATGAGGAACAATTTCTTTCGGTGGCAAACATAAGTTTGATATGTCTTTAAGTATGTTCAGATACAATTAAAGAAACATGTTAAAACACACCCTTATCACATGAGGAATATATATTCAGGTGATATAATTTAACTAGAAGGAAATTTAAGGGAGGGGATACGGGCGGAAGTCTTTCCTATGTTTGTTTGTCACACATTGACAGAGTAGTTATATTTACTGGTACTTATAGTTATAGCTCAAAGTCCTACAAAGATGATTACATGTTCTGCAAATAACAGATGAAGTTTGAATGCCATAAAGCTTCTCTCTGTATATCTGAAATATGAGCATATTCTAAATGCATCATCGACCATGTTCACTTCTAAATGTCATGCTTCCAAAAGAAGCAGTCTAGTTCCCTGTGATTTAGAAATATCGCTCCTCCCTTATTGCCATTCAGTCACACAGACATGTCCTAGAATCTATCAGGAAACATTTGGAGAGGTATTACAATGTTCAATGACAGAAAAGTGTTTGAATACCATCTCGGTATTAATAAATCGTCCTCCTTGCATGGGCTTTCTGCTTACCAATGGGTCTTGGTTGAGTCTGCCACCTTGTGCAGTGTAAGCTTGCCAACTGTTGGGGAGACAACATTTGCGTGGATCTTGGGCCACAACACACGACACCACGCAGATCAGGAAGATGTAGGTTGCAACCATCTTGGAGATACCCTGAGCAGGAAGAGGTTTTGAATTTGCAATTAGTGGTGTTGCATTTATACTGGTATGAACATCTAGGTCACGTGCCCTTGGGGACACATACGGTGTATGTGTAGGTGGATATAAATAGCTCTTGAGTCGCTGTCACATGTGTTGATTTTACACAATAGACAATCACATGATCACAAAGTCATCTGACCTAGCTTGCCTTTTTATCCACATTCCTTCTACTCCCCACACGGCTGGTGATACAAACAGGGTGTGCATTATCTTCGTCACTGTGCACCATGTTTAGCTTGATCCAGTTCCTCTCATGGTGAAAGTCCCGAATGGGATTCAGCCTAAAAATGTACGTGAATCTGGACTTGGACTTTGCTGAGAAAGTATAATCCCATTGTAAATATATTCATATACAATGTATTAGAATGCTTTATTCACTAAATGCCGGCACGACACGGAAGCTCCACCATGTTGCTGTTGTTATGAACATGGGGGTCATATCAAAGATATTTGATGGTATTATTGCAGGGTGAGATAAGGGATGGTCCCCGGTGCCAGAGTGAAATAAGAACTGAAAACGACATGTTAAAATGATCATTCATTATCGTGTTCCTAGTGACATTACTGACAATGTCATCATTGGTATTGATAGTGGCAGTAGAGCTAGAATTTGAACAAATCTTATGGATAATTTTCAAGCTCCTTCTTTTGATAAACCACAAGTATTGTCCAACTATTTAAAAATATATTACGCTGCTGCAGTATGCCTACTTGACATCCTGACAAGAGTAATGTTAGAGTTTATATACCCTGCACGGGATTTGATTGATTGAACAGAACAGTTTATGTGATATGTACAGTGAATTGTAGTTCACTTAACCAGTTCTTTAAATTTACCCCAAAATGCTTGCATGCTTGTGAGATGGTCCCCCGATCATCTATCGTATAACCAATCAGCATGCTTCACTGGTTTGCCTGCTTAAACAATATAGGAGACAGCATCCAGGGAATCCCCATTAATTTAATTATTATTTTCACTTAGGCTCATTTAGACCTAGCCCCCGGCCAAGCATGTTGTCACAATTCACTTCCATGCAAACAGAAATACGTCAACAATATCAGTGCCTGTTCAGTTAGAAGAATTATGTACTCCCCCATGTCTAGACATTCATTCGTAGTAGGACACGCCCCATTTTGTATTTTTACTCGGCTTGTTATGGGATAACAATTTTTAATCCTTGAAATGAAATGTAGAATTCCTCAAGTCAAGGAGATGTTTCAATAAATACTGTGCGGTCAAGTGCGTTATACATAAATGCATAAAATATCTCAAAACAATAATCTTATATACACTTTTTGATGGGAAATTAAAATCCGAATAAGCATCTCAAATGGTAGAGCTTGTAGGCATAACAATTATAATACTTCTTCTTTCAACCTAACATCATATAATAATAATTCGGGGACCATTCACAGAAATCATTTTAACAAATATCTCAATTATACCTCAGCTGTCGTTATATAAATCATACATTAATTATATTTGCCACTGAACCAAATATTTATTAGTTCACAATCAGCATATTAGTAATGTAAAATACATTTAGTGTGTCCATACATGGGTGCAATATAGGCACAACTAGCCACGACAACAGATCTAATTAACTTACATATTCAATAACGACTGAGATTTTATGCATGACAATGTTCATGTAAGTACACTATGTACATCGTAATATCAAGAATTTAACCATATATTGTGCACTGTCACAGTACCATCATCGATATAGCACATCAACTGAACCATCAAGTTCAAAACCTCATTAAAACTACCACAACAGAACAAAACTTTTATTACGCTCAGCTCGTGATACTTTTGAAGATAGGTACGAATAAGAATACATAGTGTCCCGGGACGGTTTCCATGGAAGATTGTACAGTTTTCATGATTGTAATACATAATGAACATAGATTTTTTAAAACACTCATTTATTTCCATTTAAACAATTCCTTACATTTTAACACACTGAGGTTGTTTTCTATCGTAATGGGTTGGGATATACATGTACTAGTATTGTTTGTTGTTTAACGCAGCGGTCAGCAATATTCCAGCTATATGACAGCTGTACAGTACAACCAGAAATTATTGAGAATTTTAATACTCTCGTATTAAATGTGAATATTAGCAGAACATAACTCCAGATTCAAAGACAGGTAAACAGTTAGTATTTTGTCAAGTCACCATGGGCAGCAATGCAGGCTTCAATGCGGCGGGGCTTACTACTGATCAAAGAAGTTAGAAAGTCGTGGTCCATGCTGTCCCAATATCGGACCACCTCTTCTTTCATTTCAGCAATATATATTTGTCAGATTTTTTTTATTGACACCAAACATTTTCTATTGGATTTAGGTCAGGGCTATAGCTTGGCCAATCTAATAATGTCATATTTTGGGTCCGAAACCAGGCCTTTGCATGCTTTGAATGATGTTTTGGGTCGTTGTCCTGCTGGAAAATCCAAACTTTCCATAGAACACGTGAGCAGATGGAAGTAAATGTCCCTCGAGAATATCTGTGTACCGCTCACTGTTCATATTCCCTTCAAATACACAGAGGGGCGTTGCCCCTAACACAGATATGCCACCCCACACGTTAAATTTCGGACTGTACTTTGGGCGCTGATACAAAGGTTTTTTCAGTTTGTTTGGTCCATAATTTCAGTGTATTAGGAAACGGCCATACAGAACTTTCATCTGAGAAAATCACATTGTCCCAGTTAAAATTTCTATGCTGTAAGCACCAGTTCAACCTTCGCTCCTTTTGTTCAGGTTTCATGATCGGTGATGGAATTCCTCGACTTTTCTGCCAACCCATTGCATGCAGCTCAATTTTAATTGTCTCCTTATAGACAGCCACAGTTCCTCTATCAATCATATCCAGCCTTAAGTTTTCTAAACTCCTTCGTTTGTTTTTAGAAACAAGAATACCAATAAGCCGCCTCCTGTCACAGACAGTCAATTTTCTGGGCCTACCTGCGCCTCCCTGGTGCTCAATGCCATATCCATTTGCAATATTTTTCAAAACACGATAAACAGTGGACAAAGGGATGCCTGTTCTACTTGAAATCACTTTAGCTGATCTGATGTCCTTGTTATAATACTCTAAAATCAACTTCCTCTTCTCTAAATCATCCATACTGAGGATCACTGAAAATGTCGTCTGCTAGCAAGTAAACAAAGGGGGATAACTCTTCACAAACTAATGAAAAGGGATTAACGGAGTTGTCTCTCTTGAATGAAACCAAGCACTTGATAGCTGGTCAAGGTTGTTTATACTAGAAATCCAATTAAACATATTCTTAAATTTCTCAATAATTTCTGGTCATACTATAAATAATCGAGTCTGAACAAGACAATCCAGTGATCAGCATGGACCTACGAAATTGGGATATGATGACATGTGTCAACCAAATCAGGGAGTCTGACCACCCGATTCCGTAAATTGCCTCTAACGACAAGCATGGGTTGCTGAAGACTTCGGTTTTTTACTTTTCTTTTCATCTCATGTTTTAAACGTTTCCATTCCAAATTCATCTAGGTTAAAGCCCCTACATTTACATTTTTTTGGGCATGGTGGTTTATTCCCTATTACCAGTTATTCATAATTTAATGTTAAACCCCACCTGCCCCGTCGGCGAAATTGGCGCCCGCCAGAAGCCGACGTTAAACCATCTAATTAGTCGTCGACAGCAGATACTACTAGATCTACTAATCTAATGTTCCAACCTTTAAAAACACCAACCTACGATTGTGCATGTTGAATGTCAGGTCAGTCAAGACACATGTCACCACAAACGACAAGGCACAGGACATCCATGATCTTATCCTTCAACATAATCTTGACATTTTGGCACTTACCGAAACATGGCTAAGAGATGACGGCTCCGACAATATTGCAATATGTAAACTGACACCAAATGGTTACAAATTGGCACAAATCGCAAGGAAAGGAAAAAAGGGTGGAGGAACAGCAGTTGTTTATCGAAACAGCTTCACATGTTCGGATCTTATTGTTACTAACTCAAATACTACCTATGAAATCATCGGATTACAGATGAAGTTGGATGCGGAAGTCTTAAATTTGCTCACAGTTTACAGACCACCAAGAAGAACCAACATCTTCTTTGATGAATTCTCTGAACTTCTGAATTCTCTGACAACCATAAGTGGAAAACTTGTGATCTGTGGAAGATTTTAACTACCACGTTGAAAATGCTCAGAACAAGGATGCTGCAAAGTTCCTAGAGCTTGTCGACACCCACAACCTGCTCCAACACATCACAGACCCAACGTTCCTCAGTACGTGGTACAATGATGATATTAGAAAAGCAAAACGTAATCATCGTCAGTTGGAGAAAAGGATGCGGAAGACAGGTCTTGCTGTAGATTCACAACTCCTATAGACTTCATGTCACAGCCTTAGTGGAATTCTCTAAACGTGAATATTTCAATAGTGTTTTGGAAAATGTATCTGGACAGAAAGCTGTGTTCAAGGGATCAAACAAACTACTCTACAAGCAAAAGACTAAATCCCTTCCATCACACTCATCTCTAGCAAATCTGTGCGACCAGTTCTCAAACTTTCTTACAAATAAGATCCTGAAAATCCGAACATCTCTCAGCTCACCCACAGTTCAGGCCCCGGGATCATGAAAAAATCTTAAGTCTAAAATTTGCTTAGCACAAAAATATCTTAAGTCTAAATTATTTTGCTTAGCTAAGATTTTAGATAAGACTGGATCATGAAACTGTCTCAGCCAAATCTTAGCTAAGACTAAGACTAAGACAGTTACCATGGAAATTTTAGAATGATGTAATCATGTCCGGTCACTCTTAAATAATTGAGGAGAATAGTTTAGTACCAGGCACCTGCTGAAATGTTCCAAACAAGTCAACTGACGCTTTTATCCCTGCCGCGGTGACTTTTAGTGTCTTTAAGGTTGGGATGTTTTCTAAATACACCAACACGAACGCCTAAATGCGCTTTCTGCCATATTGCATTGGATAGTGTTTTCAAAATCACGTTTCGCGAAGGCCGGTATTGAGACGCCTATTACATCACGTATATTTCCTTTTCATCTGTGACAAATACATCACTGAATTCCTCATACATTTTAGTATCAAATAAGAAATGGTCTTTGTCACTAAAACCAAGTGTCTAGGTGATATGAAACGAACGCTGTGTGAGAAAGACAGCACTTGTTGAAATGTAAACAAAGAAACATTGAGACTTTACACTGTGTACTGCATTTTCTCAAATTTCAGACACCCATTCGTCTATTCGTAGCATGCATAGGCTCAATACTTTTAGAACATACATGGAAATAGTATCGTAGCAAAAAATAATAGATACAATACAGTAATGT